AAGTGGAAGAAAAAATAGGCACCTGCAGAATAGAGAAAATTTGAGCATCTTTATCTTATGTAACTAAGGCAAGGTATCAAAAGCAAGAACTCACTAGATGTGAAGCTAGTCCCACAGGAGTGGCATTAATCTCTCTCAAACACCTAATCAACACATAAAGGCTCCACCTTCTCATACCACCAACATGGGAATCAACTTTCAACATGAGTTTTGGTGGGGGGAAAAATCACACCCAAACAAGCAGGCTTATCCAAAATGTACAACTCTTAAAATAACACTAAGAAAACAACCTGGTTTTAAAATGGGGAAAATATTTGAACAGGCACCTCATCAAAGAAGTTATAAAGATTGAAATAAATATATGAAAAAAAATTTTCAACATCACATGTAATCTGGAAATGATTATTAAAACAATGAGATACTACTATACATTTACTAAAATATAAACAAAAATCCCTAATACTGACAATATCAAATGCTGGTGAAGATATGGTGCAACAGGAACTTTCATTCATTGCTGGTGGGAATGCAAAATGGTATAACCACTTTGGAAGACAATTTGGCTGTCTTTAGTTTCCTGCTAAATGAAACAATTTTACTACACAATCAAGCATTTGTACTCATAAGTATATATTAAAAATAAGTTGAAAACTTATGACCACACAAAAACTGGCACATGACTATTTTTAGCAGCTTTGTTCATAATTTCCAAAATTTGGAAGCAACTAAGATATACCTCAAGAAGGTGAATGAACAAATTGCAGTATATATAGGTACTAGGGTACTCATCACCGAAAAAAAGGAGCTATCAAGCTATGGAATGGAGGAGACAAATGTACATTACTGACTGTAGGAAGGCAATCTGAAAAGGCAACGTACCGGATGATTCCAACTGTATGGCATTCTGGAAAATGCAAAACCATCATGGACTGGGGATGTGGCTCAAGCAGTAATGTGCTTGCCTGGCATGCGCGGGGCACTGGGTTCGATTCTCAGCACCACATAAAATAAAGATGTTGTGTCCACCGAAAACTGAAAAATAAATACTAAAAAATTTTCTCTCTTCTCTCTCTCTCTCTAAAAAAAAAACTATCAAATCAGTAAATATCAGTGTTTTTAGGGGCCCAGGGAGTGGGAGGGATAGTTAGAGAAAGCATGGGTGATCTTTAAGACCAGGAAACTATTGTCTATTATACTACAATAATGGGTATATGTCATTATACAGTTTTTCAAACCATTATACATTTGTACACCAAGAGTGAACTCTAATACAAACTGTGTGTTCTGAGTAACAATGATGTGTCAATGTAGATTTATCAGTTGTACCAAATGTACCATGCTGATGGGAAGTGTTGATCATGGAGGGGGCTATGCATATGTGTGGGCTACATGTATAAACTGTACCTTCCAGTTAATTTTGCTAAGCCTAAAATTGCGCTAAAATTTAAAAAGTCGCTCATTGGGCATGGAGGTACATACCTGTAATCCCAGATACTGAGGAATTACAGTAGCTGAGATAGGAGGATTGTAAGTTTAAGACCAGTCTGAGCATCTCAGCGATACCCTGTATCAAAATTAAAAGGGCTGGGGATATAGTTCAGTGGTAGACCATCCCTGGATTCAATCCCTGGTAACAGCCCACCCTCGAATTGTTCATCATTTGGCATTAGGGAAATGCAAGATAAAACCATAGTGAAAGTCAACTACACATTAGAATAGCTAAAATTAAAAATATTGAGCATACCAAGCGTTGGCAAAATAGGGAGGAACTAGAATTCATATGTATTGTTGATGGGAATGCAAAATGGCATAACCAGTTTAGAAAAATGTTTCTTATAAAAAGATACATACCCTTACCATATATTTACTCAAGGGAATAGGAAAAAGATGTATAGATGAAGCCCTCTGTGTGTGTGTGGGGGGGGTATAAGTATGTACTATATATTTATAGTAGCCTTATTTGTAATAGTTTAAAATGGGAACAATCTAAATATCCATGAACATCAGATGAATGGTGGAACAAATTTTGGTGTATCCATACTACTTACCAATGAAATTAAACTATTAAATCAGCCTGGGTGAATCTCCAAATAATTATGCTGAGTGAAATAAACCAGACAATAAAAGATGGAATTATATAATTCCATTTATATAATACTCTGGAAAATGCAAACTAATTTACAGTCAAACAGTGGTGCTGGCATGGCCAGGAAGGCAGTGGGGAGGAAGACCTTACAAAGGTTGGAGGCTGGGGATGCAGCTCAGGGGTAGGGCACTTGCCTTGCACATACAAATCTGGAAGTGCTTAAGGAGGTGCATGAAGAAAGCTTTAGGATGATGGATATTTTGATTTTAGTGGTACTGTCAAGATGTATGCATGTCAAAATTTATTAAATTGTATGCTTTAGATAGATTTAATTTATTGTATATCAATCATCCCTCAGTAGAGTCATTTAAAAGAAAGAGCTGTCATCCAGCATAGCATGCTTTGGGTACAACTATTAAACTCTCTCAACTTGAACATGGCAAGTAGTATGGATACACCAAATTTGTGGCCTGATGATCACCAAATAAGCTAAAGTGGTGTCTATATCTAAGAAGAAAATATCATTTACAGTGGAAATTTTCCTGAAAACATTTCAATTACTTTTGTTCTTCTCTCTCTTTTTTAAATTTGGTAGCAGGGATTAAACCCAGGGGTGCATAACCACTGAGCCACATCCCCAGCCCTTTTTATTTTTTGAGGCAGGGTCTTTCTAAGTTGTTTAGGGCCTCACTAAGTTGCTGAGGCTGGCCTGGAACTTGTGATCCTCCTGACTCAGCCTCCTGAGTCACTGGGAACACAGGTATGTGTCACTGAGCCTGGCTCAATTACTTTTCAAGGTCTCTGTGGCGATTTTAACCTCAGTAATGTGTTTATTTATAACTGCTGTAATAATTCTCCTCCCTTTTAATTCCACTCTTCACTTTGTACCTGAACATTGTCCCTGGCTCCAGTTTCTTTAGCCTCATCCCTCCCTGCGGACAGGGATTTACAAGGATCTCAGAAAAGGTTGAGAATTGAAGAGGGCAGTAGAGAGAAGACATATGCAGCCAGCCTAAAAAGCATGATCTGGAGCTGGATACACCCACTGCCAAGATTCTGAATCCAAAACTAGTCCCAGATCACCAGAAACACTACAAACTTCTCAACAAGACTAAGTTATCATAAGAGAAAACATATCTAAGAAAGCAGTGATCAACTACACCTGCTAACCCTGAAATGATATTTAACTTACACCTGCTAATTCTAATATCATGAGGGCAACAGCTACTTCTCAGACACACTGAAATTCACCACAGTGAGGAGCACCTTGCTGTGCACACTATTTTTTAAAAAATATTTATTTAGTTAGTTAGTTATTGGCAGACACAACATCTTTGTTTGTATGTGGTGCTGAGGATCGAACCCGTGCCGCACGCATGACAGGCGAGCGCGCTACCACTTGAGCCACATCCCCAGCCCTGTGCACACTATTAATATCACAAGAAAACGAAATAATTTAGTTCTTTATTTTTAAAAATAATTTTAAGGTGTTGATGGACCTTTATTTTATTCATTTATCTATATGTGATGCTGAGAATTGAACCCAGTGCCTCACACATGCTAGGCAAGCGCTCTACTGCTGAGTCACAACCTCAGCACTAGTTCTTAGGTTTTTACTTTGCTTGCCTTAGTTATAAAAACTCTGGGGGTTGGGGTTGTGGCTCAGCGGTAGCTCACTCGCCTCACATATGCGGGTCCCAGGGTTCGATCCTCAGCACCACATAAAAATAAATAAACCAAACAGAAGGATTATGTCCAACTACAACTAAAAAAAAAAAAAAAGAAAAAAATATTTAAAAAAAAAAAAAAAAAACTCTGGCACTGGGGGCAAGGTTTTAACTTCCTTTCTTTCTGCTGTATCTGCTGTATCAGGTAAATAGCTCAAAGAAAGACATCTAAGCAGCAGATATCTGAGCCCCTTTTGCTCTGGGACCTTTTGACTGTCAGGCCTAGCCCCGCCTAGCAAATTATCCGGGTTTTTTCTAGGCCAAATATTGCTTTAGAATGGAATTGACCAAATTATGCTGTATTCATGTACCAATGTGTAACAATGAATCCTATTATTATGTACAATTATAATGCACCAATAAAAATATTATTGCTTGGGCTGGAGCTGTAGCTCAGTGGCAGAGCGCTTGCCTAGCATGCATGAAGCACTGGGTTCGATCCTCAGCACCACATAAAAATAAACAAATAAAGGTATTCTTTCCATCTCCAACTATCAAAAAAATTTTTAAAAATATATTATTGCCTAAAAATTCCTCCCTCTTCCCACTATTGGGTTAAGGTAGTTGGAGGTCTGCTGGATCCTTTCAGATGACAACAGAGACAAGTTTGGGAAGTACAGGGTATTGTTAAAAGCTGTTAACTGAGATGATCAACGCTGATGTCAGAGTACTAAGGTTTGTAGGTGAGGGAGCAGAGGTCTAAGGAGGTCCCATGTCCCCAGAAGCACCATGCCCAGCATACTGTGATTTGCCTCAAATAGGCATAGGGGCAGGGTGTGTCTGGAGAGGGGTTCAGAATTTGGAGTCCGATACACCTGGGTTAGAACGGAGCTCTGCTACTCGCTGGCTGTGGGGCCTCGCACACTCGTCCTCTAAGACCCTCGGTTTCCTCATCAGTCCACAAGCCTAGCTGCAAGGAGTCAACGCGCCTGCATCGGGGCGCACCGAGGCCCAGGGTCGGGTCGGGCCGACACCCCTCCACCGCCCGGCGCGCGCCCAACGCCTGGCTCGCTAACCCCGCGGCCGATGCCGTGCGTCCGCTCCTTCCTCGGCCTCCTGGGGGCCCTGGCGGCCGGTGGCGCCGTCGCCTTCCTCTGCTACTGTGTTTACTTCGACCGGAAGCGGCGTGGCGACCCCGAGTTCAAGCGCCGCCTGCGGGACAGTGAGTGCGCCGGAGGCCGAGGCGCCGCCGGAGGGGCCGAGCGGCCGCGGGGTGGGCGCCGGGCGGGCCGGGGCGAGCTGGGCCTAGGGCCCCGGGGCCCCACGCCGGCCTCGCACACCCCGGCAGCACGCGCTGCGTTGTGTTCGCAGAGAGAAGAGCCCAGCGGCCGAGGGCCGTGGAGCCCTGCGCGCAGGTGAAGAGCGTCGGAGCCCGGGCTGGCGCCGTCGGCCGTGCCGCGTCCCCACCCACCCGTGCCGCGGCCGGACGTTTAGTTTTTAATTTCTTTCAGAACCGAGGGGAGGAAGGGAAGGAGGACACCGAGGGGTTATAAAACGGCCGCTGTGACACTGTAGGGCCACGCGCTTCTTTTAATTGAAGAGGGAGAAGGCGCCGTGGCCGGCCCAGAGCCCAGAGCTGCACGGGACGCTGAAAAGGCGCCGAGGCCTCGTGATACCAACTTCCAGAGCCCGCCTCGCAGGGCCAGTCTTCCAGCTGGTTGCAGAAAGCATCTTCGTCTCTCTAGGAGAGAATTTGATTTGTCATTTTAAAAGATAACCATTGCCGTCATCTCGGTGATTGGCTCAGTTTCAGTTAACTCCCATCAGCTGTAAAAGTGCCACTGAGCGTTCTTAGGCTTCTTGTGTCCAACTTAAGGAATTAAGCTCACCTTCATTTTTAAGAAGTACTTTTAGTTGTAGACTGGACCCAATGCCTTTATTTTACTTAACTTATTTTATGGTGCTGAAGCTTGAACCCAGTGCCTCACACATGCTAGGCAGGCGCGCTACCACTGAGCCACAACCCCAGCCCTCCACCCGCATTCTTTCAGTCAGTCAGTTAACACCTGTTTGGGAGCCTCTTAGGTATGAGGCATTCTCCTAGGCAGGGCAGGGATCTGCATTAGGGGAATAAGAATAACCCCCAAAGCAAGGCCGTGGAGAGAGCCAACAAATGCACCAAGAGCTCAGAGGAGGAAAGATCATTTTTAGGGTAGGATTACCGTGGAGGGTGTGCAGTTTACTTATTGTTCTTTAAAGCTTATCGCTTTAAAGTAACACTTACTTTGCACCTGAATCTCTAACTTAGGCAGGGCCGGTGGGTGTTTTCCTGTCCCATTCAGCTTCAGCCAGGTGACTCCAGGGCACTTGGCTAGGATCCTGTGAAGACTGACTCCCTCACATTTGGCAGTTGATGTCTGCTGTTCCCTTACTTGGGACTCTTGGCCTGAGCACCTGAACACGTCCTCTTCATGTGGCCTGAGCTTCCTTATTGTATGCTGGGCTGGATCCCCAGAGGCAAGCAAGGACATACAAAGAGTGAGGGGAAGAGTGCCAGAGCATATGGGGGCATGCTTTGGGGATTTCTTGCATTATCGAGGCCTGCTTCATTCCAGGCAGAGGGAATAAATTCCTCTTGATAGGAAAGGTTCCAAAAGCATTTGTGGAACCTTTACTATTACTATGGCTATTTTAAATAAATGCAATTTTTATGCAGAAGACTTTGGAGAAAAAATGCCATTGAACTGAACTAGAAATTAAGTTTGGGAGATGGTATTGGAAGAATTTGGGTTGTGGGTTCAGGGAGGCTAACATTCAAGATGGAGGGAGCTAAAGGCGCATAATGCGAAGTGGGGAATCTGCCAGACCTGTCCAGTAAATCTGCTTGGCAAAGGAGCCACAGTGAGGAATAGTGAGTGGGAGGAGAGGTCAGGGATGAATAAGCTGAGTAGGGATGGAATGAGGCTGGCTTGAAGGCAAGGTTAAGGAAAGACTCAATGGAGGGAGTTACTGAGCAGTTTCTGAGCAGGATTTTTTTTTTTTTTTAAGGAGGAAAGAAAAAAATTCACTTGGATTGATCAGACAGGAGTGTACTAGATGGTTTGAAAGAGAACAGGCTATTTCAGTAGTATAAGTGAGAAGTAATAAAAATTCTAAGTTATAGTGGTGTCAGTGAAGACTGGGAAGAATAGTTCATGCTGACGAATAAAAGGATCTGGAGGAAGCAGGAGTCACAGACTTCTGAGATTTAGAAGTGAGTCATTTACAAAATAAAGGCCCAGATGCCTTGGTTAAGGAAACTGGCTGCGAGTGTCTAAGGAACTGGATGTGGGATTAGAGATGCCTTTCCCAGCCTGTTTGGGACAGAGTCTAGAATAGCTCCATGTCCTTCTCCTCCGTTGCCCTTATTCATGGTTGACCTTGAACCTTTGTGTGTGTGATTATTTAATGGTTTTCATTTTTTGTACCAAGGAGGGCAGACCTTGTCTTTTTTTTTTTTTTTTTTTGCTGTCCATTCCCTCTGTGTCTACAGCACTGTTTGGCATATATTTATTGAATATTATTCATGATAGGCAGAAAGAAGCAGCTTGTCAATGCACAGACTGTGAAACTGCAGTCTTCAAGATGTGCTGGAGAGATAGCTGAGTGGTAGTTTGGTATCTTCTAATGGAGGCCTTAGAATGTCAAACTGTAAAGTCTCGACTTTTCTCTGTTATAGTGGATAACCAATGATGATGACTTTCAGAGAATAGATGAAAAAACATTTTGGAGGGGATTGGTCCTAAGGGTGCTTTACCACTAAGTTATACCCCTATCCCTTTTTATTTTTTATTTTGAGACTGTCTTGCTAAATTGCTAAGGGATGGAATGAGGCAAGGCTGGCCTTCAACTTGAAATCCTCCTGCCTCAACCTCCTGAGTTTCTGGGAGTAGCCCCTGCACCCAGCTTGTTTTGCTCTTTTTTTTTTCCCATACTGGGGATCAAACCCAGGAGTTCTCTACCTCTGGAACTCCCAGTCCTTTTTATTTTTTTATTTTCGAGACGGTCTCACTACGTTGCTCATGTCCTTGCTAAATTGCTGAGGCTGGCCTCAAACTGGAAGCCACCATGAGTTTTTGAATAATATAAAGAAAGAAAATTTGAATAATATAAAGAATAACTGCATTTCTCATACGTTGGAACCAAGGAGTGCTGTACACTGAGCCATCCCCCAGCCTTTTTTGTTTTTTGAGACAGGGTCTCACATGTAAATCACTGGAATTACAGGTGTGTGCCACCATGCCTGGCTTGTTTTACTTTTTTAAAGAAGGTTAGTCTGGTGCCATTGTGGAGATTGGAGAAGAGGAGAGAATTCGAAGGCAGGAAAATCAGTCATTGGCAATCAGGAGGAGAAATAATGAAGATCTGTATTATTTCAGTGAAGAAATGCAGAAGCAGACTTTTTCAAATGTTCTTTCATATAATCTTGCAAAAACTTTTCTTGTTTTGTTGATGAATAGCCCCCAGGCAGAAGAGAGATGTCTTTTCCTATTTCTTCTAGAATTTTTCTTCCTTCTCACCTCAGGACCTTTTGTTTCTGAAAGTATGTTCCATGGACCATCCTTATTAGATTCACCTGGATTATTTGTTAAAATATGCAGATATTCTAATCCTAGCACCAGCAATTCTGTTTCAGTATGTCAGGGGTGGCCCAAGGAATTCTTATGGGCAACCAGGTATTTTAGACTTTTATTTTTATTTTTGCAGTGCTGTAGATGTTACTGATCCTTAGCATGTTTGCTGATAAAAGCTTAAAAGGTGACCTCTCTCCAAGGTCATCCCATTTAAAAAAGATTATTCTTGGGGAAAACAATTACCTAAATCCTCTGGATATAAAAGACTAAAGGTGAAGTAACTGGTAGTGTAGTTGATATTTCTTTGCCTTGAAACACCAGCCCTAGGCTTAGTACCAATGATGATGCCATCTTATGGCTATACTTACCTTAATGAACCAGGCTGCAGCAAACCAAAGCATCCTTCTAATAGTCACCAACTGCCTGCCAAACCCTCACCATGTCCTTGTGAGCCTGTGAGTACAGAATCCTTACTATAGCTTCTTGCCTCCCTTACTAGAGAGTTACTGCTACCTGAACAGACATCAACCAAATGACCAAAGTGACCCCACAGGCCAGAAAAATAATTACAATATAATCAATAGTCACTGTTGATCCAGGCAAGAAAATAATATTGCAACATACAAAGCTACCTTTGTTATACTCATTGTAGTAGTATTTCTGCTGTGTATTTAGTAGTTAAGATAAAATATGGATAAGAGTTATTGCAAGCATCTCAACCTACTTTGATACATTGCTGTGTATTTTTATCATTTGACATTACAACTCCATTTTAGGAAATTGATTTGAATACTATAAAGAAGAACTGCATTTCTCATACATTGGATTCAGAGACTAGGTTCAAGTTTTTTTAAATAAAAATCAATTTTGATCAGTAACCATATACTTTACAATCTTTACTCATTGTTAAACATTTTAAAAATCTTTCAGTTTTGGGATCCAGCACCAAATGAAAAACTACAAGAACGTTTTTTTTTTTTTTTTTTTTATTTTTTTTTTATTTATTTATTTTTTTGGCAGACACAACATCTTTGTTTGTATGTGGTGCTGAGGATCGAACCCGGGCCGCACACATGCCAGGCGAGCGCGCTACCGCTTGAGCCACATCCCCAGCCCTACAAGAACGTTTTTTTCAAGAGATACAGATGGGAGAACTTTGGCTATCTAGAGGTAAGAATGTAAACATTCCTTTGTGAGTTATTTATGATAATTTATGTTCAGGAAATATTATTGATTAGGATTTGTATGTCAAATAGCTAGCTAGATGTGTTAATCAGCTTGTTACAGTTAAATGCCCAGCATTTTCACTTCATTACATGTGGGAGGCCAACCTTACCGGTGACTGAGTTACACTCCCCAGCTGGGTGCTGAGGCGCTCAGTCACAGAAATGGGTGTGTCTTGCTACGGCCCCATGGGTAAAGCTATGCTTACCTGTTCCTTTGTAATATAACCCCTTGCCCTGTTTAGGATAGAATCTTCCATGGAAGTGCCTTGTGTGTGTCCCCTCCTCTTACTGTGCCCTTGGGTGTGGCCGACCCAGGTGTCAGTCAACCTGCTGACAGTGGACATCATGTAGACTCAGCCCCCTGAAACCTGACCCCTTGCCTCATTTGAATAGCTTCTCCTCAATAAAAGGGGTCAGCGTGTGTGTGTGTGTGTGTGTGTGTGTGTGTGTGTGTGTGTGTGTGCTCTCTCTCTCTCTCTCTCTCTCTCTCTCTTTCTGCGGACCCTTAAGGTCAGAGGAGCCGTCACAGCAACCCCAAAGATAAAGGTATTTGTGTCTCTTGTGTGGTAATTTCGTGCAGCCCAGTTTGCCCAGTTTAACTAGAGTGACCCCTGAGCCTTTTAGTCGCGAGAACAGAAACCCGGCAATTACACTAACACCCACCCCCCCCAACCACACTACAATAATTAGTGTTCAAGTTTATGTTGTAGTCTGAGAAGTAGACAGGCAGGGAAACAAAGCCATGTATGTCTCATTTTTTTTTTTGTACAATTCTCAATATATGAATTTTCAAAATGACTTTTTTTTTCTTTGCACCAGGGGTTGAACCAAGGGGTGCTGTGCCACTGAGCCATCCCCCAGCCTTTTTTTATGTTATGAGACAGGGTCTCACTAAGTTGCATAGGACCTCACTAAGTTGCCAAGGCTGGTTTTGAACTTGGAATCCTTCTGCCTCAGCCTCCCATCACTGGGATTATAGGCATGCACTACCTCACCTGGCACCCTTTAAAATTTGAGACAGGGTCTTGCTAAATTGTTCAGGATGGCTTTAAAATTATAGTCTTGCTACCTCAGCTTCCCAAGTAACTGGGATTACAGGTATGACTTAAATAATATAAAAAGGAGTGACTTTTACACAAGGTAATAAAGCTTAAGACTTTCATTTACATAGCCCTTTCCCAATACCCACTAACAATTTTTTTATTTATAACTTTATGTACCTTTTCTTAAATTGTGTGTGTGGGCTCATAAAATCTCAATTCCTCTCTAGATATGGATACTTCCTCAATTTAGGGGCAATTAAAATATATAAAACCTTTCAGCTTTAACTGTTATTATAGTAGGATAGATGTGGGGAAAGAAAATTAGAATTATAACTTGAGAGAAAAAAATTCATAATTCATGGTCCACATAATGATGTTTAAGTCAACCATGAACTGCTGGTATAATGGTATATACTACATAGCTAGGTATGTAGTAGGCTATATTTTCTAACTTGGTGTTAACTACATTGTATTTTTCACTAATTGTATTATTTTTGTATTTTACACAGTGATGCAGTAGTCTAATGGTGATGCATTTTTCAGAATGTATCCCTTTAGGATTGGAGGTGTGGCTCAGTGGTACATGCTTGCCTAGCATGCATGAGGCCTTGGATTTGATCCCCAGCAGCTCAGGGGGAAAAAAAAAGTATCCTCCATATTAAGCAACACACAACTACTTATTTGATCATATTTTATTCCTCTTTATGTTCAAGTGCTACCATGTAATAATTTAGTTACATTTAGAGGTGGATAAGTTATTGATATTATTAGAACAAAAATTGCAATCATTGGTTTTACAATTTTGTCCCTCTCTGTGATCCCTAAAGTGATTGACTCTTTAAGATTATATTATATACTTCTGTATAATGTAGTTTGCAATTTTGGCTGCTAGTTTAAGTATCTTCAAACCCCAAACTGATTAATTCAGTCTCTGGAGGTGGGACTCTGGCATCACCATTTTTTAAATCTCCCTAGGTTAATACAGTATAAACACAAAGTTAGAACAAGTGTTCTTTTTTTTTTTTTAATATTTACTTTTTAGTTGTAGTTGGACACAATACCTTTTTTAAAATTTATCCATTCTATGTGGTGCTGAGGATCAAACCCAGGGCCCCACGTGTTAGGTGAGTGCTCTACTGCTGAGCCACAACCCAGCCCTATAGAACAAGTGTTCTAGTGGTAAATTTTCGCCCATTTTTTTGCAGTTTTCTCAACTTTTCCCATTCTCTCAGCCACTAACTCCAATTTTCATTACTTTGCTGTCAGATAGAACATGCAGGTTGAGTACCCCTTATCCAGAATTCTTGGGACCAGATTCTAACTGTGGAATATATACATATACATAACAAAATGTCTTAGGGATAGGACTTAAGTTAAAAAATGGAATTCATTTATCCCATATACACCTTATGCATAGCCTAAAAGTAATTTTATACAAAATTTTTAGTTCACCAGCATTTGAAATGTGACCTGCTACATGGAGTTAGGTGTGGAATTTTCCACTTGTGGTCTTATGTTGGCGGTCAAAAGTAACTTGATTTTGGCTAGGTGAAGTGGAGCATGCCTGTAATCCCAGCTACCTGGGAGGCTGAGGCAGGAGGACTTTAAGTCTGAGACCAGCTGTGGCAACTCTTCAAAATAAAAGCAAAAAAAGGGCTGGTGATGTAATTCAGTGGTGAAGCACCTCTGGGTTCAGTCCCCAGTACTATTAAAAAAAAAGTTTTCAATTTTGGAGCATTATGAATTTTCAGATTAAGGATGCTTTACAGTTCTACAACTATTTTAATTGTGGTTGTCTATGGAGCCAGAAATTTTGATTGGTACTTCTGGGGAGTTGGTGTAATTTAATTTATTGGCTGGTTGACTTAATTGACCAAATTATTTTTGTATTCTATTAGCACCTCAATCTTGAGAGCCCGTACTGTATTTTTTTTCTTGTGGTACTGGGGATTGAACCCAGGGGTGCTTTACCACTGAGTGACATCCTCCACCCATTTTTTAGAATTTTTTGAGACAGAGCCTTGCCAAGTTGCTGAGGCTGGCCTCTGACTTGATATTCTCCTCCCTCTGCCTCCCAGGATGCTGGGATTACAGCCCTACACTACCACACCCAGCTTTTTTGGTTAAAAACTCAATACAATCGAAGAATTTGATTTAATGCATCACCTCCATAAAGCTATATTGTTATAAATAATAAAAGCCTTAATGGAAATTTCTAATGTTGGAAATGTAAAATTAACTATCTGGAAAGGCACAAAACTTGTCTTGTAACCTACATATTGCTTGTATCTACGTCAGGTCATGTCCTTGTGGTCTTTCAGTTTAAGCTTCTTGGGAATGTATTTTTATATGAATATGTGCTTTGTGTAGTTTTTATATGATCATTTATTTCAACCAGTAAATGGAAAATTTGTTTCAGTTAGTGGGAATCTATTATTATAACTGTAGGGAAATGTATTTTTAAGTTTCCAAGTTGTATGAAGTGTGTCAAATTTCATTCCTTAGGATTATATAAAACCTGAAGACAGGCAGCATACTGCCTTCAAAGGTCAAATTTAGCTTCTATTCCTAACTGTGGCATAAAAATAATTTTGAAACCTTAAGTCAGTTCACTGATCTTTGCATTTCCTAAAAGTAGAACAGAGAGTGAAACCAAGTTGTTCCATGTTCTGACTTGCACAGAAATACTACGGTTACTTTCCAATCTTTGCATATAAGCCAATCTTCCTTAATGCATTTAAAAACAATTACTTATACATTAGAGTTTATAAATCTCTTATTCTTTTCCCTCTAGATATTACTTCATGTTATGCTGAATCTTGCTTGAAGTCTTTGATAATAGGATCTGTTTTTAAAAAGTTTAATTTAAATCTCCATCAAATCCTAAAACAATTAAATCAGAATCTCTGGAGGTTAAGACTTCAGGTTTAGCAGGAACATTATATTTCATATTTTAATATTTCACCCGTCACACAGATAACTCATTAATAAAAGATCACAACACTACAATACTCATCATCCATCCCTTACATATACAATATAAGAATGCACTTCCAACAGAAAGAGGACACTTGTTATAGTTTGCCTCACAAAATTATTCCTATTGCAGCTTTAAATTGTGACACTCAATATTTCTCCTCACACTTGAACTCTATTCTTCATGGAACTTGTCTAAATATTATTGTTTTTAAATCCAAATTGCTTTTGTTAGTAGTTTGTAGAATGTGTATTTTGAAGAACATTAATAGTTTGCTGAAAACTTAATGTGTTTCAGGGGACTGTAGAATGGGAGTTGAACATCTTAGCAATTTCCTTTTATTGTGTGGGCAACCACGGGAACTTCTGAAGGTTTTCAGACATACACTCCCTCCTCAGGTATTTGAGATGCTGTTGCAAAAAATCCCCCTTATTTGCCAGGTGAGCACATTTTTAACTATCTTTGTGAAATATACACAGTAAATAACCATGTGATTACATAGAAATAGCAAAGTACGTGAGTGAATTGCCTGAAGTTTAAGAGTAAAATATCTGAAGTTTTGGTTGTTTCCTTTGCTTTAAGATGAAGCCAGCCTGTTTTTCATGTTTTGACTATAATGAATTACATATTTTTTTAGTATTTATTTTTTAGTTATAGGTGGGTACAATATCTTTATTTTATTTTTATGTGGTGCTGAGGATCCAACCCAGTGCCTCATGCATGCTAGGCGAGCACTCTACTACTGAGCCCCAGCCCTGAAATACATTATTTTGTTATTATACTTGTTCCAGCATTTCTGCTTTAAAGCAGAACAAACAGTATTACTTTACTTCCCACAAACATGACAAAACATATAAATCACTTTGGTAAATTTAAACATTTAGGCCAATTAGTGTTCCCTTAAATACAAGTTCATATTGGTAACAAAATCCATTTATAAGCCAATTGATTAAGATATTAGTTCTCTTACATTTACCAAACTCTTTGGTATATTTCTGTATCAACTAGAATTTCCTGAAAATACCTGGCTGTTTCAGGATAAATCTCAAGATACTACTTTAACTCTGGTTCACTTTTTTAACTACTGATCCCATGTCAAGACCTGCAATAAAGTATATATTGTTGGTTAGATTCAGAACCATTCATGTTGGACTCTCAGCTTTTGAACAAGATACACAACAGTTCAGATTCCACTAAACTCAAGCTAGTCTTGGAATGTTTCCTGAAGATATATGAAAATGTAGCTAGGATAAGAATGTATGATGCCTATCCTGGCAAAGGAAGGGAGGCAAGGATCATGAATTGAAATGATTAGCAAGTAACTGTTTTATGTATTTACCAGCAACTTGAGGCAGAAATGAATGAACAGGAATGCTTGGAGGATGGATGATCCTGATTGAAAAACATTTCAACGTATCCACAGTCCAGTCAGAAAACTATGGTTCTATATAGCATAAACAACTGCTTAGTGATATTTCCATTTATTTCACTTTTAGAATAAAAATTTTTCTATCTCATACATGATTGGACAGATATTTTGCTTTAAAATTAACAGTCACAATGGAAGAAACAATGGTTTATTTTTCTAATTAAGGGACCAAGCTGCAGAATCTTAAGGCCTCAACAAATGTATCTTATTATTTTCTCTGAACAATAAGATCTTCTATTTTATTATTCTTGGTGAACAGCGATGTTGTTTCTTCATTGGTTTCCATTGCCAAAGAGTCATGACAGGTGGTTTAACATGGTGCCTACTGCTTTCAGGGGATTCCATCACATGAATCCTCATTTCCAGTGCAACAGCTGTTGGCAATCTTTCATCGAAAGTCCATCCATCAGGATTTCTCTTTATCGTGGTTGACCAAGGAGTCCTGCTTTGGCTGCCAGGGCTTCATTCTGCTGAATATGATATTCTTGAAATCTCATGGATATTCTTTGTGTCATTTTTAAATATTTCTGTAAGCAATGTTCTGAACAGGTGATCTAGAAAAGGGAAGATCCAAGAAGCAATGCGAAAATATCAGTTTTTAAAAATGCACATATTCTAAAAGAACAACCAGTAGGAACTTTGCTTTTCTTTAAATATTGGTGAACTAAGTAGCACAAATGGGTAGTGACCATAGCTTTAAATTGTTGATATAAGAATTAACATATACTAAATGCCTACCAGTTTGTAGGCATTAAGAACTATGATAGGTCCTTTTCTTTATGAAGCTTCTGAACTAGATTTTTTTTGTCAGTATATTTTATTATTAACTGAAAGCCCAAATTACTATCCTCTTAGTGAATATATACTTAGTAGCAGGTTTGTTCCTTTTTTAATAAGAAACCCCATTCTCAATATTTTTAATTCTCAACCTTTTTACTTTTTAACAAGAATATTACATTATCATCTCTCCTAAAATGTCAGTTATTTAAGAAGTACTTATTGATGGCTGGTTATGTGTTAAGTTCTTGTCATGAATGTTACCAATATAAATGTTTTGATGAGGATATTAAAAGTTAAGACTTCTAATAGGATTGGGGTTCAGAACCCACCTATGCAATATGAACCACCATATTTAAGCTTTGCTTTTTCCAATGCCAACCTGAGTTGTCAAGGACATAGAAAGGCTGTATTGTTTCTTTAGCCAGGCCATCTCTACTGAAAGGTAATTATTAAGAATCTTTGTGGTAGAACAGTAACTCAGCAACCCCAAGTATCTTCTCTAAAAAGGTCTGTCTTGGTACAATGTGACTTTCACATTAAATTGGCATCATGAAACATTCTATGCTCATAGATCCTTGGCAGCTTCAGTTCCTCCAAGCAGTGGCTCATAAAAGGCACATAAAAGGCAGCCCAAATTCCTGTTGTAAGTAGGAACAAGTGAAATGCTTAGGGGCATCCTATTGTTATGACAAACTTAGAGAAATTTAGTGAGCAACACTTTTCATACCTCTTCAGGTTTTACTTCTCTTGTTGTAAAGTCTTTTACACAGTCCAAAAAGCAGGTTTCTGTAAGTTTATTGTAGGTTCCAAGGAATTCCCTAAACTAAAATAGAAAGTTCTTTAATACTCAGTTTTTGCAACAAAGATGCTTTGAAACTTTACACTTGAAACCATAGATTCTCTTGCTAACTTAAATAGTTGTAATATGATCTATAAAATATCATTTACTTGTACATTTTTGCCGTCTGAATATTGACCAGAATAAAAATATATATGTAGTCAGGTGTGGTGGTACATTCCTGTAATCCCAGCTACCCAGGAAGATGAGTCAGGAGGATCACAAGTTCAAGGCCAGCCTGGGTAACTTAGTGAAACCCTGTCTCAAAACAGAAAGGGGTAGGGATATAGCCTGGTGATTGACTAGCATGTGTGAAGCCCTGGGTTCAATCACCAGTAACACACACACACACACACACACACACTCAGAACCAGGTGCAGTAGCCAGGTGTACATGCCTATTGTCCCAGTTACTTGGGAGGCTGAGCCAGATCACTTGAGCCCAGAAGCTGGGGACCAACATGGGTAACTTAATGAGACCCTGTCTCAAAAACAAACAAACAAACAAAAACATGCTTCATATAATATCTGTTCTTAGAGATGAAATACAACACTTATTTTGTGAAATCTCTGACTAACCTGGTTACATCCAGTAGTGCTTTACGTTTTGTTCCCCCCAAATCCTGTTCCCTTAATTATAATACCTTACCTGTTTTATCTGATCAGATTCTGGTATTTGTGCAGCCATATTCTTTTGGTATGTTTATTAGTCACCTGATTTAAAAAAAAAAAAGGTCAATCTACATTTTTTTTTTAAGTTAGGTCAAGAGTTAGCTAATCATATTTTATAAATTTCCAACTTTGTACATAAATTATATGCCATCCCCAATCTCACAGATCATTAATGACAACAGAACCTCACAATTTACAGTGAAAATTTTCTAATGTTAGCTCTGAAACTCAGAGTTCTTGTCTTACCTAAATCTACAGCTTTAAGACAGTTTTCTCTGAACTCTAGTGTCTTCTTAAAATTTCTTAATGATTCCACTAGTTGACAATTTAACTCTGACCTGAGCTGCTAATGATTCTTTTACTATATGTAAATGTGAAGTTTCAATTAATTCTTAACAAACACCACTCACTTTTAAATCAACAATGCTCAAGAAAGATATTCAGAATTCCAGAAGATGCTAAAGGAAAATTTCTGAAGTTATACATTCTGGAGTTCATAAAGGGCAATCACAAAGACTTACTAGAAACTTCTGATATAACTTGGGGGCAACAGAAAGGAAAAAAAAAAAAAACTTTCTAAATTACTGAGGTTTACACATATCCTAAATGTAGGACTTCAGTTAATCTAGATTCAAGAATGTGTATATTGTTTATTTACTGTATTCTAGCTAGTTCTAAAAAGTTTGAGCATATCATATGAAAGGTTTATATAAAATAAAGCTGTTTAAAAGAGAAATTAAACATCATGTAAAAGGAAGAATAAGCAACTATTGATCACATACACTGTAATGTTATGCGTTATATTCAGCTTTGAGTTCCCAAATAAACAAAGCAGAAAAGATAAACTGTATGTATATATGTTTCTTATTGGATCGTCAATTATTTAGTTGCCTTGAAAAGCACAAAAACTAGGAAATTCAAGTTTAAGCGCAAAGCATATGACACTACTATCAAAAAATTAACATTCTCATTTTTAGTAAAACATATAATCAATGTTAATTTCACTTTAACCACTCCCAACCATGTATATAATTCCCCCCCTTCTGTATTTACTTTTCCCTCCTCTTTTTTCCTTAACCTGAATATTTGTGATAATTACTGATATTTTAAAAGTCATAAGCAAGGGAAAGCATTAGTTCTTTTCTATTTGGTATGCTAGTCTCATTTTAGATGTTATAGCTCATAGTTTTCTTTGGAGTAATGATTAATAAAAGGTGTAACTGTGTATATCAAAGAACTTTGAGTTTAGTAACAAGACAGACAACCCTTCCAAATCCCTTTTTATCTGCTGTTGAACAAACACTTAGTAGAAATTTTAAGTGAGCCCAAAGTTTAGGCAACTAGTGTTCCATAAACGCCTTGCAAGTTAACAAGAATGCTCTTTATTTGAGTTTTATTTCACAGTGTTATAAACAATATGTATATATATTTTACTGTAGAAACTACTTGGATAAACACCAAGAATTAATTGAAGGTAACCATTTTTCAGATATTGCTGTATCACCATATGTTCCAGGTAAGGTACTATCCATTATATTCCCCCTTAGCTGTATGTAAATGATCAAACACAGATTCCAACCCCTCCAAATAGGCTTGCACAGAAATCCAAGCCTATTTAATCATCTTCCAGTATCATCATCAAACTTACAGTTTAGAATCTTGGCAGTTATGATTCTAATTAATTAACTGGTATATGTTCATTCAGTAAACACTTAGTGAATGTACTGAGGACAGTGGTAGTTATGAAACTAGCTTCTGACACTATGCTTCTGAGACAAGATGCATTTTTATAGCTGCTATAAAACACCATTACCCAGTTAAAGAAACAGGATTCCATACGTGTATCATGCAGTGATATTTTTTAGGACATGTGCTTCCAGGAAGATGGCGCAGCTGTGCCTTTCCTCATTCCTTTAACATGTACAACTAAAAATCCTACATTATATGTAAAGCAAATATAAGAAGACTTTTGAGAGGTGGATGGAAAGTAGCAGACTGGTTAGGACCTTGGACTCAGAAACACAGGGGTAAATTCTCTGTATTTTTTAGTTCTTTATATAGACTTAAAAGCTGAAGAAGCTGGCCATCTGCAAATGGGGGCAGTAAAAAAAAAAAAAAAAAACCCACCACACACCAAAAGCTTGGTCTCTAACCAAAATTGCAAGACAGAAGACTAAATTTAGGCAGTAACCGCTATATACCTAGCAAAGTCCACAGAAAAAACTGTCACTTTTATCCCTTCACACATCAGCTTAGGCCAACTGGGAAGCCTAGATTTCCATCTACAAGGAATGTAATGAGGTGCTCCAACACCTACACTGTAGTGCTGCTAGAAAAGGCTGGTTAGGGAAAGGGTCATTCATCCTGCCAGGCAGTAAAAAGACCCCCATCCCACAACTAACACCAAGTGTCAGTGGAAACCAGACAGGGAGACTAGCTTCCATTCCAATTTCTTTCCTCTGGGATAGTATCAAAGAAGGTCTACTTGAGATTCAGGACTTGCATTACTGCCCCATGAAGATTAGGCCATATGCCCTACTGTGGTATCAGTAGAGGCCACTGGGGAACAGTAATGAGGTACTCCAGTCTTTCCCAGCTAGGAATGCCTGAAAGCATTCCAAATTCAGCAAAAGACATAAACCTAAAATTCACGAAGTTGAATGAATCCCAAACAGCATAAACCCAATGAAATCCACATTAAGTCAAATACCTAAAATTTAAAAACCAAAAAAATCTGAAAGCAGCGAATGAAATACAACATCTTTCTATAGGTAAAAACTAATCAGGATAATAGCACATTTCTCATCAGAAACTATGGAGGCCAGAGGAAGAGGAACAAAATTTTTCAAGTGCTAAAAGAAAAGAATGGTCAAACCAGACAAATGTATTTAATGAAAGTATCCTTCAGGGATGAAGAAGAAACCAAGACATTCTCAAATGAAGGAAAACTAATAAGAATTTTTTGTCCACAAATCTGCCTTAAATAATGTTTAAAGATTCTAAACAGAAAACAATAAAAGTAATGTTGGGACATAAAGAAGAAAAATACAGTAATAAAAAAAAGTTCAGTATAATACATTTTCCTTCTCTTCTTGAGTTTCCTATCTTATTTTCATCAATTATAGCAAAAATCACAAGACCATTTACGGTGGTTCTAAATATATGTATGCAACAGCTGGGTGCAGTGTCATGCCAGTAAATCCTAGCGACTTGGGAGGCAGAAGGATCACTAGTTCAAGGCCAGCCTTAGCAATTTATTGAGACCCTCAGCAACTTAGTCAGACCCTGTCTCAAAATAGAAAATAAACAGAGCTGGGGCTGTAGCGCAGTGGTAAAGTACTCCTGGGTTAAATACTCAGTACAGATATTAATTCAGAAAACTGTAGGTAAATCAAAATGGACCACAGGACTGCAGGAAAAGAAACAAAAACAAAAACAAAAAGTTAACAGGTTTAAACCCCTAGTAGATGGAAAAAAAAAAAAAACTCAATCTAAATGTACCAGTTAAAAGACAGACTGGGCGTGGATTAAAAAATATCATCCAGGTATAAATGGTCTACAAGAAAGTCTTCATATTTAATGATACACACAGGTTAAAGACAAAAGGATGGGAAAAGTTATACAATCACAAGAAAGCAGGACTTTGGATTAGACAAAGGGGAATGAAGGAAAGAGAGAGGGGATGGGAATAGGAAAGACAGTAGAATGAACTGGACATCACTTTCCTATGTTCGTATATGACCAGAGTAACTCCACATCATGTACGACCACAAGAATGGGAAGTAATTACTCCATGTTTGTATGACATGTCAAAATATACTCTACTCTCATGTATATCTAAAAATAACAAAAAATTAAAAAAAGAAACAAAGCTATTCTAGTTGTAATTTAAGTGAATTTCAATTAAAATAAATGAATTTAATTAAATGTTTAAAATATATTTGTTAACAAGGAATAAATACTTATGATGTTACAAAAAAACAAAGAAAGCAGGAATAGATAATATCAGAGAAAGTAGATTTTAGAACAAAGAAAATTATTAAAGACAGAAAGAGACACATAGGGGTTGGAGTTGAAGCTCAGTGGTAGAGTGCTTGCCCAGCTAGTATGAGGCACTAGGTTCAATCCTCAGCACCACATAAAAATAAATAGATAAATAAATAAATGGTATTGTGTCCATCTACAACTAAAAATAATAATAAAATAAAAAAGGGACATATAGACCAATTTATCAAGAGATATAGCAATCCTTAATATGTATGCATCAAACACAGCTATAGTTGGGTGGGGTGGTGCACACCTGTCATCCCAGCTACTAAGGAGGTTGAGGTAGGTGAATTGCAAATTAGAGGTCAGCCTCAGCAACTTGAGAGACATTTCTGTCTCAAAGGAGAAAGAAAGAAGAGAGGACTGGGATATATCTTAGTGGTAGGTGCTTGCCTAGCATGTGTAAGACCCTAAGTTTAAACCCTAGCACTGAAAACAAAACAACAACAACAAAAAACTGCATTTCTGTATGTTAGCAACGAATATAAATGCACACTGAAATTATAACACCAATGATAATTACTAAAAAAAACCCCAAAAAACGATATGGATAAAAGTATGTTTATGTATAAAATGCTAATAATTAAGACATAATAAACAGACATGTCATGTGTTCACAGATTAGAAGTCTTTTTTTTTTTAAAGAGAGAGAGAATTTTTTAATATTTATTTTTTAGTTTTTTCGGCGGACACAACATCTTTGTTTGTATGTGGTACTGAGAATCAAGCCCGGGACGCACGCATGCCAGGCGAGCGCACTACTGCTTGAAAGAGTAAGGATGTCATTTTTCCCAAGACTGATATGTAGACTTAGGGTAATTTTAACCTTGAATTAAGTCTGTCACCTTATATAAAAATCAATTCAAAATGGATTAGGGACTTAAAGTAAAATATAAAATTATTAAAATTTTTAGAAAACTACAAGAACTCCTCAGATATTAGTGCTAGATAACATCAAAAGCATAATCTGTAAGAGGAAAATTTTGATAAATCTGATTTCAGCAATACTAAAAACTTGCTTTGTAAAAGATACTATTAAGAGGACAAAAAGATAACCACAAGGCAGGCATGGTGGTGCACACCTGTAATCTCAGCTTAGGTATTTTACCAAGACCCTGTCTCCAAAAAAAAAAAAAAAAAAAAAAAAAAATATATATATATATATATATATATGTATGTATGTGTGTGTGTATGTGTGTGTGTGTGTAGGGAGGGAGAGAGAGGGCTGACACTGTAGATGTAGCTCAGTGATACAGAATCCCTGGGTTCAATCCCCAGAATTTAAGCATAATAATTACATATCATTCACTCTACAATTCTGTTCCTAGGCATTTAGTTTAGAGAAATGCAAGCTTATATTCATACAAAAATATGTCCCTGGTTATTTATAGAAACTTTATAACAGTTGAAAATGGAAACAACTCAGATGTTCTTTACTGAGTATTTGGCTAAACAAACTTCTATCTATACTACGGAATATTATTCAGCAACAAAAAAGAGGCATGAATACATATACCAGCTTGGAGAATGATGCTGAGTGAAAAGTCAATCCGAAAAGGTTACATGTATAATTCCATTTATGTAACATTTTGAAATGACAGAATTAAATAAATGAAGTCCATATTAGTGGGTGCCAATGGTTAAGGGGAGGAGGGTGAGACTGGAGTGTTGCTTCAAAAAAGGTACATTAGAAAGCTTCATGATGGAATGTTCTGAATCTTGACTGTATCAATATCCATATCCTGGATGTGATATTGTACTCCAGTTTTATACAATGTTACCATTATGGAAAACTGGGTAAAGAGCATAAGATCTCTATATTATTTCTTATAGCTGCATATGAATTTACAATGATCTCAGAATCAAGAGTTTAATTTTAGAAAGAGAGATTGCATAGTATTATAATCCCTGCCCCCCCAAAATGCAGCAAGGTAAATGTTGTTAGCAAGAGATCCAAATTGGGCTAGAGTGGTGGTGCATGCCTGTAATCCCAGTTACATGGAAAGCAGAGGCAGAAGGATCACAAATTTGAGGCTAGCTTGAGTAACTTAGCAAGATCCTGTCTCAAAAAAATCAAAAAGGGGGCTGAGGTTGAGGTTGTAGCTCAATGGTAAAACGCCCCTGGATTCGCCTTCAGTTCAGTGTACCTGTCTCTGAAATTTACAGAACATTTAAAAACTTTATATATTCTCTAACTTCTGTACTGAAGTGGGTGGGTAGAATTCCAAGTTAGACTTCTTTTGGATTCCCACTCAAAAAACAGTCTGGAAAAGATCCAAGAAATGGCAAGAAGACTTTATGAAATTAGTATGACATGAAACTTTTTTGTGGGAACTTAAAAAATACAAGGACAATAAAATATGTATTAAGGAACTTGCTTTACCAGCAGGAATCTGGCTCGAAGTACAAAAGGCCATCCACCTGACCTGAGCTTTCTCACTGTATCTAGGACATGAAGCAAACTGGATTTTCCACACCAAAAAAAAGAAAAGAGATCTGATTTCCTTAGAATTAAAATCTTAGAAAATTTACACGATGACTAACATAATAATCTAGTTCTCTTATTCCTATCCTTGTATTCCCTCAGGTTAAAATTCATGTTTATTGATTTTTTCATCCAGAAGTTAGAGATAGAGAACATATGAAGTTTTTAAATGTTCTGTAAATTTCAGAGACAGATACACTGTGCTGTGTCAGTCCTCCCAACCCCCTTACTATGCAATTCATGATGACAAATGATGGATATCATTGGGAAGTCTTTGGCAAGATATAGATGAGGAACACCCCAAATGACACTGGTATGAATTTCTTTTTTGAAATTGTTTTTTTTTTTTTTTTTAGTCATAGATGGACACAATACCTTTATTTTATTTATTTACTTATTTTTATGTGGTACTGAGGATTGAACTCAGTGCCTCACACATGCTAGGCAAGTGATCTACCACTGAGCCACAACCCCAGCCCTTGTGGTTTTAGTTGTCTTTTAATGTACATTCCTTAAACAGTCTCCTCCTTTAAAAAAAAAAGTTTATTATACTATAAAAGTAATATAATCTACTGATTATACTCAAAGATCACTGCTAACATTATGAGTTTTTCCTAGAATCATTTGATTATGTATTTTATTTTTTTAAACATTTCCTGGGCCTACACTTAAACTCAATATCAGCTAATAGTCAGCAATCCCCCCCCCCCCAGTGTTTGGAATGGAACCCAAAGCTTTGTGCATGCTAGGTAAGTGTAACCACTGAGTACACCCCCAACCAGCAATTTTCTTTCCCCCTTTTTTTTAGATGTTGATGGATGTTATTTTATTCATTTATTTATATGCGGTGCTAAGAATCGAACCAATACCTCACACATGCTAGGCAAGCGATGTACCACTGAGCTACAACCCCAGCCCCAGCAATTTTCTTAACTCTGCCTAAATCTCCATAGCTTATTTATTCTCTGTAGTGTTATTATTATCAAGATTATGATGAAACTAACCACAGAAAACTATTCCTAGTAAACAGTGGAGATGCTCAAATGAATGATTTTCAGATTCACTCTATAGTGTAAGGTCTTCTAAATCTATTGTGTAGTTTTTTAATCCTGAGGTACACTGACTGACAAAGACCAATAGCCACACAAAACTGCTGATGGTGAGAACAGGTTGCAGCAATGTGGCTGTCTTTTTATTTGATTCTTTGTTTCTTTTCTTACAGAAAAGGCTTTTAATTCTAGAGGCAAATATCCAATCAGGAGTTAGTGTCAGGCTAAATCCCTGAAAGCTGGTGTAGGAGAGAAGGGATAGAACTCTAGCTTACCTCTTATGAATGATGATAGCAATGTTTAGTTTTGTGCCAAACGATACATATTATAGTACCAGCAAACTTAATAGTAAAGGGAGATCTTATCAGTCATCGAGCTCAAACCTTTTCTGATGCATGAGTTTCCTTTTTGTTCTGGAAAAGTGGTTGTCCAGCCTTTGCTTGAACGTCTGTCTCCAGTGAGGCCTGATTTCTTACCTGAAAAATTAGGGTGTTATAGTATGACTGCTGAGGCCCTTTGGAGCTCTAACAGTCTTCCTGATGAAATCTAAAGTTCTGTGGCGATGTTATTTTTAAAAAAGCTTCTTCTTTTTTATTACCAAGTTAAATGATACATCAGGTATTTTTCCTTCTTGCTGTAATGGGGATCAAACCCAGGGCATTATGCATGCCAGCATGCACTCTACCACTGAGCTACATCCCCAATACCCCTCTTCCCCTCTATTCCGAGACTACAATTCTTTAGCATACTTAATGTCATCCTACATATTATTACTTCTTATATGATTCTTCTAATACCCCTGGGAGGGAAAGTTTAGAAATGTCTACATTTATAAGAGACCACTTTACAAACAGTAACTACAACAGTAGGGGCCTAACTAAGGTGTTGTTCATACTTTAAGCAGTGTTTTCCCTCTTACACCTTAAGACCTATGTTTCCAATAAACTGTTATTTAGAATACCATTTATCTAAAATATATTCTCCAAATAGACAAACATGCTGTAAGCTCTTCAGACCCTTTCTTCAGCAACTGTTATTTTTGCTTACATTTTTTCACATTTATTAACCATGTCTATTATCTCTTCTTAATGCACCTAGTAACTTCCCTAAATTATTTTCCTTTCCTTCTCAGAAAGGAAATCCACTTAGCAAAGAACAAAAGAGATTTCAAAGGCCCCAGAAAAATTTTATTTCAGGTGAATATCATCACATAATAATTTCCAGAAATGTATAATACTGAATAAAATAAATTAACCAGGACATGATGGGGAGATACCTTCCATTTCTTTTTAAAAATCATATGCAGATTTGTACCAACTTTGAAGCCAAATCCTAATTCTGCTCAAACTTAGTTTACAATAAATGATTCTTCTGATGTCCTTGGCCCTATCAATATAATTGCTCCTGGTCTTTGAGGATTGGTACTGGTAATTGGCATCTTACGGTTCAGGCAAAGATCATATAAAACCACTGAGTGACAAGTAGTTGAGGAACAGGATATATCTATGATCTTAAAGCAGCTCCATAGGTTACATATCACAGAAAGAAAAGTACTCCTTCATGTTGGAAAGATCATAGTCACTAGTCATATTAACCAAGTGATTAAACCTAGCACCACATACACTGAGTTGTGGCATTAGGTATTTTATGATGGGACCCACTAAGGCACAGAGCATTACTTATGTGGCATTCTTGTAAAAAAAAAAATGCTCTTTGATCATTAGGGAATAATCAGGAAAATCCACAATACGAAATAACTGAAGAAAACTGGGCTGGTCTTTTAAAAAAAATGCAATAAAGAAAAGGTTGATGTAGATTAAGAGACTGAAGAGTGTTGAGAACTATACATAGTGTGTGAACCTTGATTGGAACCTGATCAAAGAAACATTAAACACTTCCTGGATAATTGAGAAATTTGAATGTTATCAAGTATGATAATTTATTGATGTTGTGTAATACAATGTCCTTAAGGAGACACATGCTGAATAAATTGTGGTTAAAGTTCATGTTTGCAACTTACTTGCAAATGGTTCAGCAGAAAAATTTTATATATGCTTGGAGAAAGAGTGGGAAAGAAAAAGCAAATACATGTTAAAAAAAGGAAAAAGGGGGGAAAACGCCCTTCTGACCCATGGTTTTTTGGTTTTTTTTTTTTTGTATCAGAGCTATCAGTGTCTTTGAGGTCAAATGTCTAAACTGTTTTTACTAACTTGTTTAATATAACCTAATAGGAATCACATGACCCTTTAAATTATTTGTAGCAGATTTAGGAAGTTATTTTAGTCAGATTTAGGTTGTCTAACAATAACTCTAATAACCCTAACAATGATAACTCATTGTTAGCCAGAGCAGTTTTGAGAGATAATCATACTGCTTTCAGACTGGAAAGACTGGCTTCAAGATATAAAGAACTGAGCCTTGGGCACTGGAAGATGACATTAAAGGGATTTTTAAGATCCAAATTATTCAAGTCATATTAATAAATGCCTTTGCTTAATAAATGCCTTAGAGATAAGAGGGGCAAGATAAGGTTCCCCCCCCCCTTTCACATTCACACCCAAGTTTCACCCAGAAATTATGGAAGTTAAGTGATCATAAGGTCTCTTGCAGCTCTGACATTGTTATTCTTTTAATACACTTATGCAAACTGTGAACAAATAGGTTCAACAAAAGAGACCAATGTCAATGGGGAAAATGTAACTGACATAATAATAGTTGTTAATTACTGAAACTCATCAGGATGCAAAAATAAGTGAAATGTTCTCCAAAGCTGACCCGTAGGTCCATTTTAATTCTAGACGTCTATGAAAGTAGGCAGCTTTTCCATCGGATTACATATTTTACTTTGATTAATCTATTTTAAAGCCTATACACAGCAAGGCGAAAAGGGAAGGCTCTAAGCAGTGCGTCTTCGAAAATGAGCAGACAGCCCTGGTAGTCTAGAAAGGACTGGAGTCTAGAAAGGATTTTGCAGTTAAAGGAGGGACTCCAGCATGCCAGCGCAAGGTCGCGGCACAGAAAACCTTACAGCCTAATTCTCTGTCCCCGCAAAAGACCTAGACTCCCCAAACCTGAGCTTGAGGTGGCTCGGGGCCTCAGCTTCCTACCCTGGCAGGCTGACGAGGCCGCCGCGTCGTAGGTCCGCACCCGGCCAGACGCGCTGCCCGGGTCTGCAGCCCCCGCGGCCCACACACATCTGGCCGCTTTCTCCCGGGACCCAGCCACCGTTCTGAAGCTGACCTCCGCCCCCCACCCGAGAGCCCAGGATTCTGAGGGCAGAGAAAAGAGACCATACTTAACCACAGGCTCTCGCATCCGACTGGTAAGAGGCTGGGGGACTGCAATGCAGGTGGAGTCTGGGGGCTGAGGGTCGGGGTCAGGGTGCCGCCGCTGCTGGATGGCACAGAACACGTGGGAGCGGTGATGTCAAACAGTACTTAAACTCTGACGCAGATTCTTTACAACGTGGGGAAATCTAAGGAAAAAATACAGTACCATAAATGAATTCTGAAATCCACTAAAAATTAACTTCGTGGCTGTATGCTTACCAACGCTCTCTATTCCTGACTCTCTCTCCCTACGACCCGAATCTATTGAAGCTCTTTGGAAGACTAATTTACTTAACCCCACGGTCCTAACGGTCTTCAGGAGCTACAGTGAAAATAATCCCTAATAAACACGAGTAGTGTTACCAGTCAGGTCAGGAGCGCTTCAGTCGAAGATGAGTCCCTCGGATTTTATCCAATATCTTAATCTTGTAGGGAGATGTGTTGTCTTTAAAATAAAAATAAATTCACATCTCTTTTAAGGTTTTAACAGTGTAAGTTTGTTTCCACCCGGACAGGGATGGAAGGGCACGGGAGAGTACTTGCGTTTTGGTTGGATGTTTTGGACGCTTTTCTTGGCGCGCATGCGTGTTGTGTCTCAAGGGCGGGCTTAAAGGGAAGTGGGTGTCGACGCGCAGGCAGTAGAAGCTGTTGTCAGATCAGACCACTGACTGCGAGGTTGCTGGGTTTACTGGAGACGCAGAGTGAATTTAGGCGTCCGGTGATTGCATCTGGAGGCGTGTGTAAGACTGTCGGTGAAGAAAGCTTTTAATCTTATGTGGGTGAATTTTTTTTTTTTTAAACAGCATTTCGATTTTGCCTGCTTGATTCCCTCTTGAACAAATTTTAACCCCATTTCCACATTTGTTTGGTGTTGCACTGCCAGCCCTCAGGTTGGGGAGGGCATTAACTTTGTTGTTGCTCTGTGGCCATTCTGTTGTCATCCCCTTTTAGATTCATTGGCTTGGTGCATTAATAGACTCAGTGAGTTTTATGGCTAAATATGACCTAGTCGTCTTTGGTCCTGGATTAAGTACCAAAAGTTAAATTCCAGCTTTGTGAGTATTCTCCTTAGACATTTTAATTTTTAAGTTAATGACTGCATATTCATAATCACTTTTGGAATTCACGTTCTTCTTCTTCTTCTTCTTTTTTTTAATATGCCCCTTTTCCCTTCTTGTATTCTCTTAGTCCTTAAAGAGGTGGAAGTTTTATTCAGAAGTCTTATGAACACAGAAGAAAGTTCTTCCATTCAGAATTGTGGGACTAGGTTTCTTGCTAACAATATGAAAAGCTCGGGAAAGAAAAAAAGGGTTAAAATGCCCGCGAGGAGACTTCGTGAGGTCCTTTCTCCGAATCAGGAAGACAATTTGGCTTTGTGGAAAGATGAGTTGCCCCGTGTTTCTGCAGTGTTGTCTGCAAATAAACCTCCTCCTGTTCGAAAGGGAAATAACATGAATGGAACATTGCATGGTATGTTATTCCATATACTGTAGTTTTTCAGCCAGTTTTCTTTTTTGTAAAACTTAATCTTTATTTTGGTTATTGTGCATCAAAATATAGGGGATTCTTAATGTTTAAATTCAAAAGTGTAAGATATTTCCGGCTTATACCGATGTTTAAAAACTGACCCTGTTCCCTGGGAAAATGGCCAGTCATAGAGGGTCCACAAAATGAATGGTTTCAGTAAATGAAACTTTAACTTTTCCTATTGTGCTTTTTCTTCGTGTCATGTTTGCACATTATTCTTGTTCACATTTATGATAGACATGCTTAACTTGTACAATGAATTAAATTTCCCCCAGTAGTGCTCTTTACCAAGTGCTCTACAGTACTATCCACTTTGGCATAGTATAAACACAACTTAAGTCATTTGATGACTTCTTTGTTTCAATTCATTTATCCTGTCTGGAGCTCAGAGAAAATGAAAACATTATGCTTTTACCCACTTTACTATAAATTCTACTGGTTATTGTAAGGATAAAATCAATGAATATAAGCTGGGTGTGGTGGCACACACCTTTGATTCCAGCCTCTCAGGAGGCTGAGCAGGAGGATGGCAAGTTTGAATCAGCCTGGACAATTTAGCAAGACCCTGTCTTAAAATAATAAAGGGCTGAGGATGTAGCTTAGTGGTAGAGCGTCCCTAAGTTCAATTCCCAGTACTGCCAAAAAATAAAAAATAAAATAAATAAACAACAAAGTGCTTTAATTTTATTTTTGCAATGCTGAGCATAGACAGTTGCTCATCCCAGGCAAGCACTCTACCACTGAGCTATATCCCAAGCTCTTCAAAACACTTTTATAATGCTGGGGTTTTGGAGGTACAGCAATGACACCATAACAGGCTCCTGTTAAATCAGGCTTTTATATCATGTTCATATTTTGCTCCTGGTAAATCCCATAGTTTGCCCATATCCAATAGTGAACTGATTTTTTTTTTCTTTTTTCTTTTTGTACTGGGGATTGAACTCAGGGGCTTAATCACTGAGCCACATCCCCAACTCTTTTAAAAATTTTATGCAGAGTCACGGTCTCACTGAGTTGAGGGCCTCACTAAATTGCTGATCCTCGTGATTTTGATTTTGATTTTGGCTTTGAACTGGTGATTCTCCTGCCTCAGCATGTGGAGCTGCTGGGATTACGGGCATGTGCCATTGCTCCCAGCTTAAACTGATGTATTTTAAAACATTTTATACTTATGTCTCTTTATTGTTCATACTGACTCCTATTTTCCCTAATTATTTTTTCATCTGAAGTATCTGTCAAATATAGAGCTTATAGTTCTTGAATCATGCCTATAATTATAGGTAAGCTACTGTTTTTAAAAACACTCAAATTGATTCCTTTATTTTGTTAGGTTCTTCGGATATAACTTCTTCTAGAAATTATCACAAGCCTCCGTTAGAAAATTCTGCTATATCAGAAAGCGTAAGCAAGAGTCCTTAAATATGTTAATCATGTTAAAATTTTCATTATTGTCAAACAATATGTTCTTATGTTCAGTTAGCAACATGCCTTGTTTTTCTTTATCATGTGTGAAGAGAAATGTTTTATATACTACAATTGGAACTTGAATATGTTTGAGATATTAAATATGTCTACTGGATTGTTAGCCTCATTGTTTATTTTTTAGAAAGTTAACACCTGTTAACTTTCATCAGTGGCTAGCCTTGAACAATTTTTTTTGTATGATATTTTTCCTTTCCCCTTTCTGATTTAGCAGGAAAAAAAAAGGGTGAAGGACAACACTGAGTTAATCTAGTACTGTAAAAGGTCATTGTTTTTTAATACTGAATAGGGTCCTAGAGATGAAGTCTAGAATTGTACACATGAGCAGAAAGCTATTTGCTAGTAGGTGTCAGAGAAGCTTTCTGAGACTACATAAGAGCTCAGTAAAAAAAAAGAGATCTGTGATTAATTTGTGATGTTTTGCCATTCATTGATCATTCTTATCTATTCCATTTGATTAACAAAGAGTCAGATTTTCTCATTTGAACTGAAGCAACTGAGATGTTAAATATTTATTTATTTAGTTGTAGTTGGACACAATACCTTTATTTTATTTATTTATTTTTATGTGGTGCTGAGTATTGACCTAGGGCCTCACACGTGCTAGGCAACCGCTGTCCCACTGAGCCACAACCCCAGCCCCAATAATTTATTTTACTACAAGTGGCAAATCAAGAATTGAGTCTGGATCTCAGTGCCACATTTGCTTGTTTGCCCATTTGCTCATTTATTCACTTCTCTGACAGTATATTATTGACTCATTGAACAAATCCTTGGGTAGCTTCGAAGTACCTAAGCATTGTGTAGTGCTGGGAATGAAATATACAAAACACACAGTCCTGCTCTCCCAGAGCACAGTAATCACAGTTAGTAAATGGTATTGCTAAGGAATAAATCATAAAGTTTATTTAATTTTTCACTTTTTCCTCTTATATCCCAAAGGATTTTTCTAAAGATGTTGTAGTGCAGAGGTTACCTTTGGATAAAACAGAAGAGAGCAACAGACAAAACGGTAAAAGAATAGAATTGACATTTTTTAATTGTGGTAAAATATACATAAATTTTCCATTTTAATCATTTTAAAATATATAGTTTGTGACATTAAGTATCTTTACATTGTTGTGCAACCATCATCACTGTCTATCTCCAGGACTTTGTTTTTTTAATCTTTTCCAACTGAACTCTATGGCCATTTACTACTAATTCCTGCCTCTATGAATTTGACTATGCTAGGTACCTTATATAATTGGACTTATTCAGTATTTATCCTTTAGTGTTTGGCTTATTTCTCTTAATGTATTGTCTTCAATATTCATTCTTTTTTTAGCATGTGTCAATATTTTCTTTTTAAAGCTAAAATTGATTTCTGGATATTCATTCAACAAACTAACAGGTTTTTTATTACTGTTACTATTATTATTATTATTTTGAGTGTTGGGAATTAAATTCAGGGCCTCATGTATGCTAGGCAAGCACTCTACTACTGAGCTATACCATGTTATTTTATTTTTAATTATTCTCCCAAATTAAGTTATTAATACACTCAAAAATCCAGAAAAGTGTTTGCAATAGTAAAGATTATTTTAGTATTACCAATCTATTATACAGGTTTGGTATTGGATATACATTTATTATTTATTTTTTTGTGGTGCTGGGGATTGAACCCACAGGGGCTTTATGCATTCGAGGCAAGCACTCTATCAACTGAGCTATATCTGTAGCTCCCATTTATAAATTTTTTTATAAATTCTGAACTCAGGTTTTGTAGGGTCAGACAATAGATTAAAAATGTCCTTCAAAAGTTTTATTTATTGACAAATTTTAAAGCAATTTTTTTTTTATTCTAAGTAGTATTAAAATTTTATCAAATTTTCCTTGATCTTTTGTAGTGGAAATTGAACCCAGGGCGCTTTACCATTGAGCCACATCACCAATCTTTTTTTTTTTTTTTTTTTCAAATGTTTTTTAATTGTCAATGGACCTTTATTTATTTTATTTTTTAAGATTTATTTATATGTAGTGCTGAGAATTGAACCCAGTGCCTCATATGCTAGGCAAGTGCTCTACCACAGAGCCACAACTCTAGCCCCTAGTCCTTTTAATTTATATTTTAATTTTTTTAAAAAAATATTTTTTAGTTTTACCTGGATGCAGTATCTTTAATTTTTTTTTTCTTTTACTTTTATGTGGTGCTGAGCACTGAACCCAGTGCCTCACATGTGGGAGGCTAGTGCTCTACCGCTGAGCCACACCCCAGCGGCCTATATTTTAAATTTTGAAACAAGGTCTCCCCAAGTTGTTGGGGCTGCTCTTGAACTTGTGATCCTTCTGAACCTCCTGAGCCTTCTTTTTCTTTCTTTTTATTTTTAAGAAATCTTTTCCATGTGTAAGATTTAATTCTCAAGCATAATAAAAACAATTCTCTATAACACAGGCTCTTCTCTATATAAATCTGGTCAAAGGAGAAATTCATATAACGTAATATCAAATATTTACTTTGGTTTGCATAACAATTATAACACCTTCAATTTTCTCAGCATTTTATTTTTTTAATAAAATGTGGCAAAGTACATATAACATGACACATCTCATCTTTTTTTTTTTTTTTTTTTTTTTTTAAAGAGAGAGTGAGAGAGAGGTAGAGAGAGAGAGAGAATTTTTTTTTTTTTTTTAAATATTTATTTTTTAGTATTTGGCGGACACAACATCTTTGTTTGTATGTGGTGCTGAGGATCGAACCCGGGCCGCACGCATACCAGGCGAGCGCGCTACCGCTTGAGCCACATCCCCAGCCCGACACATCTCATCTTAACTATTTGTAGATGTCCTTGTTTCTCAGGTATTTTTGATACAAATTTTTCTAGTATCTAGGGTTATGACTATTCTTGCCTTTTTTAAAAAAAATATTTATTTTTTAGTTGTAGGTGGACACAATATTTTTATTTCATTTTTATGCGGTGCTGAGGACCAACCCCGTGCCTCATGCATGCCAGTCGAGCGCTCTACCACTGAGCCACAACCTCAGCCCCTATTCTTACCTTTTTAAATTGAGAAATCCTATTATTAAATCCTAAACATCCCCCCACCCCCAATAAGTACTTATGATTGAACCTAGGATCTCAAGCTTGCTAGATGAGCTCTTCATTGTTGAGTCTATCCCTGGCCCTTTCAGAAAAGTTTGTTTTTAGTTTGGGACAGGTCTTATTTAAGTTGTCCTGGCTGGCCTTGAACTTGCAATCCTCCTGCCTCAGACTTATGAGGAGCTGGAATTATAGGCACATACCATTACATCTAGTCCTAAACATTTTTTTTAAGTTGTTGATGGACCTTTACTTTATTTATTGATATTTGGTGCTGAGAATCGAATCTAGTGCCTCACAAATGCTAGGCAAGTACTCTACCACTGAGCTACAACCCTAGCCCCCTAAATATTCTTTTAGTTTAAAAAAGTGGGGTTTTTAAAGCTGATTATGGTGGCATACCTCTGTTATCCCAGCAACTTGGGAGCCTGAAGCAGGAGGATCACAAGCAGGAAGATCACAACCCCAGCTCCTTTGTTATTTTTTTCATCAGTATAGCTAGAATGAGACCAGCCTACGCAATTTAGTGAGATCTTGTCTCAAAATAAAAATAAAAAGACTGGGGGTGTGCCTTGGTGGTAGATGGCCTCTGTGTTCAATCTCCAGTACCCCCCCCCCCAAAAAAAAGGTCAGGTTTTGTGAGTGGCTTATTAAAATTTAACGAATTTTTGTTATCTTAATTTTGCAGCAAATGATATCTGTATTTCTCAGTATACCATGGGACAGAAGGATGCTCTAAGAACAGTTTTAAAGCAAAAGTAAGTTTCATTTACAGAAAATAGTTGTACCATGTTTGTGTTTAAAATCAACTTCCCTTATACTTTGGAAATACAAAAACCTCTTCACTACATAATGTATTGTGTGATGATATATAAAGCATTTCTCATAGTTTTGGGCACATATAAAGTACTCAATAGCTATTAGTTGTTGTTACAGAAAAGGTTCTGTGCTAAGTGTTTTATTACATTAACTCATTTAACACTCTCAAATCCCATGAAGTAGATTCTGTTATAATCCCAGTTTTATAGAACACATGAATATGCATAACATAAATCCTGTGACAGAGATTCTGTTACATCCCAGTTTTACAGAATCCCCATTTTATGGATGAGGAAACTGAGACATTGAGCTTTTCCCAGGGTCATGGCAAATTGTTACTGGGCTGGCATTTAAACCCAGGCATTCTACCTTTAGAGCCTGCATTCTTAACCAAATCATGATACTGCTTGTGGCAGTGGTCAAGTAGTTCCTTATACATAATACTTATTATTTACTATCAAAGAACCTTTAGGTTTTTTCCTGGTCAAGATCTGAGGAAGAAGCAAACTTCATACCTTTACGGAACAAAATACAAAACCAACCCTGACAAGAACTCATGATAAACATGAAGCAAGAATACATCTACTAGTATGAAGGCAATTTTTGTTATTTTATTTTATTTACTTTTAAAATATTTTTTAGTTGTAGTTGGATACAATACCTTTATTTTAATAGGTGCTGAGGATCGAACCCAGGGCCTTGCACGTGCTAGGCGAGCACTCTACTGTTTAACCACCAGGGTTGCTCCCCAAATGCAGCTACTTTTAACTGTTACCTCTTTCTTCTAGAGAGTATTTCATAAATTAAAATTATATGCCTATGTTCCTATTCTTGATTTATTAAATTTAGACTCTACTCTTCCTCATATGATAGTATTTAGCTGTCTTAAACTACTCTCTCCCATCCTTTTATTGTAGTTATCTAATACTTTTAATGAAATCAACCATTGATTATGTGGACATTATGCACTATATTAAGTGGAACAAGAGCCACAGATTTACAAATACCGTTTTGTTTAAAAAGTTTTAGTATTTACAAAAGTAGAGACGATAATTTAATGCACCGCCATACTCCCATTGTTTAGCTTTAGTTGTTAGCATTGTTTCATTTTAACTTCCCCTCACTCCCCTACCCAAGTTTTATTTTTAAACCTTTCTCAGAAGTAATTTCATTTTATCTGTATTTTAGTAGGTGTTTCTAAAAGATTAGTATTTTTTCTTTTTCATTTTAAAGTTTGTTCTCAGGCTGGGGTTGTGGTTCAGCGGTAGAGCACTCGCCTAGCACGCGCGAGGCCCTGGGTTTGATCCTCAGCACCACATAAAAAGGAATAAAGGTATTGTGTCCAATTACAACTAAAAAATAAATATGAAAAAAAATGTTCTAATTAGTTATACATGACAGTAGAATGCATTTTGATGTAAAAGATTAGTTTTTAAAAAGGCAATGCCACAATACTATTAATATACCAAAGACATAATACTGGCTATTTCTTAATATTATCAATCATACAGTTAATATTCAAGTTTCTCTGATTGTTCCATAATTTTTTGTTGTTGTTGTTCATTTCTTTGTATCAGGATCTAAAGAAGGGCCACATGTTGCATTTGATTGATGTATCTTTTTTTTTTTGGTACTGGGTATTATTTTAGGAGCACTTGGCTACTGAGCCACATCCCCAGCTATTGCGTCACATGACTAAACTGGTCACTCCAGCTTAATTTGGGGAATAAATAAAGACACAGACATAGAAAGTACCTTTTCTTTAAGTTCAATGACCGCTCCTCAGCCACAGCTCCCACAAGGGCAGTGCAGGCAAGAAAGAGAGCTAGGAGCACATGCTGAACCCTTTTTTTGGGGAGAAGCCATTCAAATGAGGCAAGGGGTCAGGTTTCACAGGGTTGAGTCTAACTTCCTGATGTCTTGCTGTCAGCAGGTTAACTGACATCTAGGAAGCCCACGCCCATCTTATGTGCTGTGTGGGGATCAGAGGCAGAGGCAGAGGCAGAGCCAGCACCAGGGAAAAGATGCTTACTTTCCCTGCCCAGAGGGGCAACTTTGGTTCAGTCCACTTTGTGTGCTCAGTGGTCATAGTTGACATACACACAGCCTATGGCTGGTTTGCCACTTCTCCACATTCTCATCGATGAAAGCCAAGGGGTGCTTGGTTCCTATGTGGCATTTATTTATTTTAGCCCAACTTTGTATTTTATTTAGAGACAGGGTTTCACTGAGTTGCTTAACACCTCGCTTTTGCTGAGGCTGGCCTTGAACCCAGGATCCTCCTGTCTCAGCCTCCTGAGCTGTTGGGATTACAGGCGTGTGCCACCACTGTGCCCGGGGATAAATGTGTCTTTTAAGTCTGTTTTATTTATTTATTGCTTTTGTGATGCTGGGGAATTAAACCGAGGGCCTCATGCATACTAGGCAAAAAACCTGAATAAGCTGGGTGAGGTGGTGTACTCCTGTAATCCCAGCCGCTCTGAAGGCTGAGGCAGGAGGATCTTAAATTCGATGCCAGCCTCAGCAATTTAGCAAGACCCTAAGCAACTTAGCAAGACTATGTCTCAAAATAAATAAAAAGGGAAGGGGTGTGACTTAGTAGTTGACCACGTCTGCATTTAGTCCTCAGTACCATAAAAATTAAATGAACAAACAAAACTTGAACAATAGAGAAAAGGCAGGGAAAAGAGAAAAAATCAATTATACCAGATAAAAATGAATCCAATAAAGTAAAAAACATACACAGTAAAATGTTTTTAACTGGTTCTTAGAAGTTTAGAAGTATAAGCAACTTCCTGACAAATTTAGGTCAGAAAAATGATGGTAGAATACATGAATTAGAGATAAAAAGAGGATAAATGATAGATTTAGAGGAGACAAAAACAAATGAGAGTACAATTAGTTACATGCCTCAAATTTAAAATTCTAGATGAAATTAAATGATTCACCAAGAATAATCATAGAGCTAGATTTTAATAGACCAATTGCTAAAAAATATGGAAAATACTTTAAAGAATAAACCTTCTAAAACAGTGATGATTTTGTTTGAATTCTTGGAAAAATATTAAGAAACAGATTACACTTATGCCATTCTGCTCCAGTACAGAGAATGCTATCCATGTCATTTCCTGAGGCTAACCTAACCCAAATACCCAAAGCTAAAATTTAGTTTTATCCTAAGTGTTTTTGTTTCTATCATGGTAATTTTTCCAAAAAGTTCATGTAATAAAATCATTAAGTCAACTATTCATCTGATAGCTAAAGATAACAATTTTATTGATATGTTATTTCTCAAGTTATAAATAGGGTATGTCTTTTGTGTTAGAAGAGCAATGCATAATAATGAAATAGAGTTTGGCTCAGGAATGCAGCAATGTTTTAAAAATAATGATTGAATTTTTTTAAGGTACTAAGGATTGAACCCAAGATTTCACAGATGCTAGACAAGTGCTCTGCCACTGAGCTACAACCTAGCCCCCTTTTAATTTTAATTTTGAGATGGGGTTTCACTAAGTTGCCCTGGCAGGCTTCAAATGTGGAGTGCTCCTGCATTAGCTTCCCAAGTATCTAGGATTATAGGCTAATGCCAGTATACCTGGAAATAATTGCAAATTCTAATATAGCAATTATTATGCTCTCTGCATTGGTTTCTCGTTTTAATCTTTACAAAAGCCTGGAATGTCTTAAAATGTTCCCATATTAAAAATGAGGTTCAGGCTGGGGTTGTAGCTCAGTGGGAGAGCTCTTGCCTAGAATGTGTGAGGTGCTGGGTTAGATTCTCAGCACTACATAAAAATAAATAAGTAAGTAAAATAAAAGTCCATCAACAACTAAAAACAAAACAAAAAAGAGGCTCAGGCAGTTTTAAGCATTGCCTCACTAATAATTCATGATTCATTATATATTTATCATTGGAATAAATAAGAAAATATGTATGACACGCACTATGGATCACATTTAATAAAATGTCATGCTCATTTCTTACTTACCTTACCATGCACACATACCTCTTTAAAACTAACAATAGAGTGATAGATTCAGATTCTTAATATGAAGAAAATAGTTAATATCCTGTTTAGTAGTAGAATTGAGAGCTCATTGTCTTTTTGGTTTGGTGGTACTGGGGATGGAACCCAGGGCTTCATGCATGTTAGGCAAGCACTCTCTCACTGAGCCACATCCCTAGCCTTCATTGTTTCTTTTTGTTATTGTTTGTTTATAATTTGGAAGTCCTATCTGTGGCAATTAGAAAATAAAATGAGATCAGGTATGGATATTGGAAAAAAGGAGGAAAAATTTACATTGTAGAAGATATTCTGTACTTAGAACAAAAAAAGTTATATTTATGATTAGAAATCTGTAGAAACTATGCGAGGAAGAATGAAATTTTCCTTGGGAACTGACAAAGACTAGGATATATTGAGATAGTCAACATGTTCTGGATGGGAAGACTTAATACTATAAAAGTCCAAGTTTGTCTAAAATTAGCTTATAGGTTTTGCTGTAGTCATTGAATTTTGTTTTAGAATAATTGGTAGATGGAATTTAGCCAAGTAATTTTAATGTTTACTTGGAAGAACATACAGCTGAGAAAAAGTATATGTGTTTATGTGTTTTTATGTGTGCCTGAACATTCTGTTTATTTTTCCAACGTTAATTTTCCAAAATTATTTAAAAATTAATTTTCTAAAAGTATCTTAGCTATTCTCTACTGTACATATTCTATATGTTCATATTCTTTGTTTTTGGTGCTAGGGATCGAACCCTTGGCCTCATACATGCTGGGTAAGGGATCTTTGAGCTATATCTCCAACCCCTATATTTATGTAACTTAACTGTAGAGTTGTGACAAAATGGAATGATGTAGTACTTGTCCTATTTGATATTATCATGTGCTTTAAAACTGTAAATAATGCAAGGTAATAGACCAGAATCTTTGAGAAATGAAGAATCTGGCCAAGTTGTCGAGTACAAGGAAAATATGAACTCTTCGGGCTGGGGATGTGGCTCAAGCGGTAGCGCGCTCTCCTGGCATGCGTGTGGCCTGGGTTCAATCCTCAGCACCACATACAAACAAAGATGTTGTGTCCGCCGAAAACTAAAAAAAATGAATAAAAAATTCTCTCTTTCTCTCTCTCTAAAAAAAAAAAAAAAGAAAATATGAATTCTTCTAAAGGAGTTTGGACTTTAAGAGGGATGGCAAATCATTAAAAAGTTGTAAAAATAAGATACATTTTTAAAAAATGTTTATTTTTTTAGTTTTAGGTGGACACCATATTTTATTTTTATGTGGTGCTGAGGATTGAACCCACTGCCTCATTCATGCTAGGCGAGCACTCTATCACTGAGCCACAACCCCAGCCCCAAGATGAGATACATTTTTTTAAAAGACTCACTCTAGTAGTGGTATGAAATAATGATTTGGAAAGGGGCTGGGCTGTTGTCCAGGAAGTCATTTGGCTGTGGAGTTTTCAGGGGTCTCTTTGACAGAGAGATAGGTCCTAAATACATTAGGAGGGGTGGGATGGAGGCATAAATCATGCTAGGTTAAATAGTAGTAGACAGATATGGAAGCTGATTTGTGTATAGAATTGATAGATGTGAAGTTGAGGAAGGTGGTAAGAATGAATTCCAAAATTTTGGCTTGCATAAATACATGATCAGTAGTGTCATTCGTTAAGAAAGGGAATCCTTGGGAGAATAAATTTCATTTTGAGTGTGAGGGTTCAAGATACCTATGAAGCATTCAGGTAAAAAACATTCTAGAAAATTGAATATAAAGATCAAGTTTTCAAAAGGGTCAAAACTAGAAATCCATATGCAGAAGTCATTAGTGTGTAGATGACTACTACTAGTAGTAGTGTAGTATCAGTGTGTAGATGTATTGCTCAGAAGTAAAGAAAGATAAAGAGTGAAAATGTTCACTAAATTTAGCAAGAATTATTAGCGAGCTTGGTGAGAACAGTTGTAGTGTATATTGGTTTATTTAATGGATTTAGGAGTAAAGAAAGTTCTAAATAAAAGTTTAGAAGAAAATAATTGTTTCTGAATGGGAGGATTATGTACCTTTACCTGTTTTTTTTTCTTTTTGTGTGTGTGTGTGTGGTGCTGGGGATCAAACCCAGGGTCTTGTGCATGTAAAGCAAGCACTCTACCAACTGAGCTATATCCCCAGCCCTTGCCTGTTCTTTATACTTGGTGCTTTTTACATTTGCTACATTAAAAATAAAGTTTAAAAGCCTATAAAGATACAGCGACACACACCTGAGATCTCAGCTACTTGGGAAACTGAGGCAGGAAGATCTCAAGTTTGAGGCTAGCCAGAGCAACTTAAAAGAAAAAAGAAAGAAAAAGAAAGCCTGTATAGAAGCTATCTAACCTTATAATGTAATGTTGGTCAAGGGTAAATCACTTTTAGACTTCAGACAAGAATACTAAAAGACAAGGAATATTCTAATTAAACTGTCTTAGTAGACAAGACATTAGAGAGAGAGAGACACACACACACACACACACACAAATATTCCCTCAATTGGTTAAATATTTATTGAGCATCCTGTGTATCTATACTTTTGTTAGTTGCTGTTCCGTATGAAAGTAGTCTCTCTTCCCTAGCTTGTTTATGGCTTAGTTGGAGAGATTGTGTATGAGTGTGTGTGTGTGTGTGTGTGTATATATATATATATATATAAAACATCAAGATTTTATATATTATAGAACATATATCAAGATTATATATACATATGTATATATACATATTTATATACGTATATAAAATAATCTTGAGAGAGATTATATATACACGTATATATACATGTATACACACATATATATACGTGTGTGTGTATATATATACACACACACATATAATATCTCGACAGAGCAAGCGAGAGCGAGCGCATGTGCACGTGGGAGAGGGAGAGAAGTGATGGTTCCTTTCAGAATCGTGATAGGAATAGAGCTTTGCATTCAATATATTGTTAAATTGTTCTGTACAGATGTTTAAACAATGGAATGCCTATGTTTCAGGCCTCATGTGGTATAGGCAATAAATACAGAAGTACTTAATGAAGGGAGAGATCAATAGAAACTGTTATAAAGATAGGCTTATTGGGAGAGGCAAGATTTAGATTGCATCCCGAAGAGGAAGGATATCGTAGTTTGTTGAGTGGAAGAAGTTTGAGAAAGCAGAGAAAAAAGCATCGAGTCAGTTGTGAGCGTAGTGCTGTATGTGTAGTCAGTAAGAAGAGCAATATGATTCCAGAGAGAGGTTGTTTTGGGTATATATAGGAGGGAGGTATATATAGGAATGGAGGATAGGACCAGAGTATGGAGGGTATAGAAAGCCAAACAAGAAATTTGCTCATTCAGCTTTTTATAAGGACATTTCTGAGATTTTTCAAGAATGGAGACATGAGTGGGAAGTTTTTAAGCAAATAAACCAAAGAATGAAATATGTGGTTGGTAAGAAGTGATGAATTTTCTAGTAGAGAAGAAGAAAGAAGGGAGAAGTACTAATCCAAGAAAGTTTTAGAGTCATGGGAAGACCTCTGGAATTGGGCCTTGTCACTAAATCTGTGATTTCCATCAAGTACACCCCATTACCTCTGTGGACCTCAGTTTCTTCATGTAAAAATTAGAAAATTAGGATAGATGAACCACCTATGAGATTCCCCCAACTCTATAGTTCTATGACACTTTTCATGTAATTGTGATGAAATAATTGGCGAAACTTGATGACTCTATTGAGTATGAGATGATAGGAAGATAGAGAAGTAAAGGTGACTTCAAAATTTTGAGACTTAGAGAAGAATGATGCTCTTAGTAGAAATGGGGAAATATCAGAGGGGTAAGTTCAAAAGTTCTGAGCTGTCTTTAAAAATCAAGCAAGGGAAATAAAGCCTCTGGATATGGAATGTATTCCTGTTGATTTTATTTATACTTATCTAGGGATTATTTGATTCTGTCCATGTTCCTTTCATTTTTTCTTAGAGCCCAAATATAGAGCATAACTAGACAGATTCTTTTTTTTTTTTTAGTATTTAGTTAATATGTGTCTATTTACTGCCCCCCTCCTATTATTTATTTATCCCCCCATTTATCTATCTATCTGTTTACTTACTTTTGGGGACAAGATCTCACAAAATTGCCCAGGCTGGCTTTAAACTTGGCAATTCTCAGCCTCCAAAATTGCTGGGATGATAGGTGTATACCATGGCATCTGGTTTAGGTCCATTTTTAATCCAGGCTATTTAGTGATGTCTTTGATGCCCATTGGATGATATTTAATTTAATCTAAATGAGTTAAAATTCAGAAAGTTTCTTTCAGCAGTTTTAATAATTGTTTTTGGGGATTTGTGCTAAATGAAATAAGCCAGGTACAGAAAGAGAATTATCACATAATCTCATATGTGGAACTGGAAAAAGTTGAATTTACAAAAGGGAGAGAATAGATTGGTGGTTGCCAGGGGTTGAGAGTAGGGAGAATGGGGAGGTGTTAACCAAATGGTACAATTTCAGTTAGGATGAATAAATCCTAGAGCTCTATTTTATGCCATGTGATGATTGTAGGTAATAATATTTATTGCTAGGAGGGCACCTTTTATGTTCTTATTCCCCCCCTCCCCACCACATGCACATACACACACAGATAATTATGTGAGGAATGGATATGTTGAGTAGCTTGATTGTGGTAACCTTTCACAATGTATAAATATATCAAAATATGTTGTATATAGTAAATATATATAATTTTTATTTGTCAGTTATGCTTCATTAAAGCTGGATTAAAAGGGGGTAAAGTGTACATCAATAATGTTATATTTCTTTTTTCTTTCTTTCTTTTTTTTTTTTTTTTTTTTGTGCTGGAAATTGAACCCAGGGTATCTCACACATACTAACCATATACTCTACTACTAAGCTATACTCTCTTCCTCTAATGTTACAATTCTTCTAAAAGTATTTAGAGAATAAAATTATCAGTACTTTAAAAACAGCAGTAATCCCTCTTGGGTTGTTTGTTTTGGGGGAATAAAACTTGGTATTTAAATTCTTAGAATGTTTTTCTTCAAGTCTTAAATTTACCTTCCTCCTCCTCCTCCTCCTCCCCCCCCCCCCTGCACTTTACCATTCCCAGTTCTTTTTTTTTTATTTTGAGATCTTATCAAAATAATCAAAATATCTTATCTTTTGTTTTGAGAACTTATCAGCTAAGTTCCTGAGGGTCTCACTAATTTGCTGGGGTGGGCCTCAAATTTGTAATCCTTCTGCCTCAGTCTCTCAAGTGGCTGGTATTACAGGCATGCATCACTATGCTTGGTTTATATTTCTTGATTACATATCCTTTTAACTGTGACCATGCCTTTTCCACATATATGTAAGTCCTATTCTCTGAAATAACATCACTGCCTTCAGGGAATTATCTTATATCTTTAGTCCTTAGTGACTCAAACCTTGATAAACTTCATTAACAAAATGACTTTGTTTGATATGCAATTTAATTTTTTTTCTTTTTGACACCAGGGATTGGACCCAGGGCTACTTTATTACTGAGCTACATCCACAGCCCTTTTTACTTTTCATTTTGAGACAGGTCTTGCTAAGTTGCTGAGGGTCTTGCTAAATGGCTGAGACCAGTCTTGAACTTGTAATCCTCCTGTTTCAGCCTCCCAAGTCACTGGGATTACAGGAGTGTGCCACCAAACTTGGCAGGTGATTTAATTTTTAAAAATCAAGAAAATTACCTTCAGTGGATGACCACTTACAGATATTTATTGAAGTGGTTCAGCATACCTTATTGAATATATTTTATTCCTTTTTTATTGATAGAGCGCAAAGCATGCCTATCTTTAAGGAAGTAAAGGTACATCTTTTAGAAGATGCTGGCACAGAAGAGAATACTGTTACACAGGAGGCCAGAACTTCACCCAGTGCCATTGATTCTGCTACAACTGTAGCTGCAGCAACTGCTGCTGCCATTGCAACAGCAGCTCCACTGATAAAGGTATATTTTTCTCTCCAGGTATTATGAATATACTTTGTGAAATTTTATAAAAATAACTGTTAAGATGCTCTAAGTAGTTGTGTCCAGCTCTAGACTAAGAACATTCTGTTTGATCTCAAGTTGAAAAAATTTTACCATGTGTGGTTGTGTATTGCTTCTCAGAAGTTATGAAAATTACCCTTTCATTGCTCTGATGGTGCTAGTGAATCCAGGACTTTGTAGCACTGAAAGTCACAAATCCTAGGAAGCCTCTTAGTTCTGGGTAACTAGGATGATTGGTCATCCTTATTTGAGAACTAGAAGACAGCTTAGATTACATAGACCTAACCTGTTAGTTTGTAATGGGAAAGGAGAACCACGTCACAGGAGGAAAAAGATTTTAGAGCTAATAGGTGGGAGAGCCAAGATGAGAACTTAAGACTGCTAACCTAACTCAGTTTTACATTAGTGAAGTATAAAAAGTTGTTTTCTTGCTATTTCTGTCTCTTTAATTTCCACTTAAGTATTTCTTATTTCTGCATTATAAACTTCTATGAGGCAAAAAAAAAAAAAATTTAATGAGAGGAAACATAGATCCTAAGGATTGTGATCTCCTACCCTTTACTTTTTAATTTTTTTTCCTGCCTTTTACTTTTGTGACTCTAAAAATAAAGGCATCAAATCATCAGAGATACAGTGAGTAAAGGTTCTACTTTGACAATTTCTCAAATCAGTTGCTATAAATAACCTTCTTTGTAATTGACCATATTTTATTGTCTTTCTGTACTATAATATAAAAAATTATTTTGTGATTTTTATCCTTTTAGGTGCAGAGTGATTTGGAAGCAAAAGTTAATTCTGTTACAGAATTACTTAATAAGTTACAGGAGACCGATAAACACTTACAACGTGTTACAGAACAGCAAGCAAGCATTCAGAATAAAGAAGAGAAATTACATTGTCACGATCATGAGAAGCGAATGAATGTATTTATGGAGCAGCAAATTAAGCATCTTGAAAAATTACAACAGCAACAAATAGATATTCAGGTATCTATAAGAAAGCCAGTATACATTTCACGATTTTTTTTATCACTTGCATATCCAAGTTAATTTTCATTGCTAATTGTAGTATTTCATTAGATTGTAACAGTTTTAGTTTTTAAATCATGATTTGCTTGCCAGGTGGACCAGAGTATGTATGTTCTAGCTTAAAGTATTGCTTAGTTATTTTTTCCTCTTTTTGTGGTCTTTTTTTTCACACTTTTTTTTTTTTCTGGTAGTGGTGATTAAACCCAGGGGGTGCTTACCACTGAGCCATATCCTCAGCCCTTTTAATTCTTTTTATTTAGAGATAGGGTCTTGCTATGTTGCCCAGTGCTGCCTTGCTAAGTTGCTGAGGCTTACCTGGAATTTGTGATCCTCCTGTCTTAACCTTCCAAATCACTGGGATTATAGGCATGCACCACCACGCCTTACTGTTCACACCATTTTTAAAGCAGTGATTTGTTTATATAAGCAGTTCTTAGCTTGAGAATGTGCATCATAATCACTTGGAGAGCTTTATAAAAGTACACGTGCTTGAACCTCTCAGATTCTGAGAGAGCAAGTCTGAGGTGGTACCTGGCAATCTTGAAAACTCTGATTCTGATGTGCACTCTTGGATGAGAACAACCTTCTGTACATATTTGCTTCTGTATATAATTAATTTAAAAGAATGATAATTTTTTATTTTTTTATTTTTTATTTTTTAATTTTTTATTGTTGGCTGTTCAAAACATTACATAGTTCTTGATATATCATATTTCACACTTTGCTTCAAGTGGGTTATGAGCTCCCATTTTTACCCCATATACAGATTGCAGAATCACATCAGTTACACATCCATTGATTTACATATTGCCATACTAGTGTCTGTTGTGTTCTGCTGCCTTTCCTATCCTCTACTATCCCCCCTTCCCTCCCCTCCCCTCCCCTCTTCTCTCTCTGCCTCCTCTACTGACATTCATTTGTCCCCCTTGTATTATTTTTCCCTTTCCCCTCACTTCCTCTTGTATGTACTTTTGTATAACTCTGAGGGTCTCCTTCATTTCCATGCAATTTCCCTTCTCTCTCCCTTTCCCTCCCACCTCTCATCCCTGTTTAATGTTAATCTTCTTCTCATGCTCTTCGACCCTACTCTGTTATTAGTTACTCTCCTTCTGTCAAAGAAGACATTTGGCATTTGTTTTTTAGGGATTGCCTAGCTTCACTTAGCATAATCTGCTCTAATGCCATCCATTTCCCTGTAAATTCTAAGATTTTGTCATTTTTTAATGCAGAGTAATACTCCATTGTGTATAAATGCCACATTTTTTTTATCCATTCACCTATTGAAGGGCATCTAGGTTGGTTCCACAGTCTTGCTATTGTGAATTGTGCTGCTATGAACATCGATGTAGCAGTGTCCCTGTAGCATGCTCTTTTTAGGTCTTTAGGGAATAGACCGAGAAGGGGAATAGCTGGGTCAAATGGTGGCTCCATTCCCAGCTTTCCAAGAAATCTCCATACTGCTTTCCAAATTGGCTGCACCAATTTGCAGTCCCACCAGCAATGTACAAGTGTACCCTTTTCCCCACATCCTCGCCAGCACTTGTTGTTGTTTGACATCATAATGGCTGCCAATCTAACTGGAGTGAGATGGTATCTTAGGGTGGTTTTGATTTACATTTCTCTGACAGCTAGAGATGGTGAGCATTTTTTCATGTACTTGTTGATTGATTGTATGTCCTCCTCTGAGAAGTGTCTGTTCAGGTCCTTGGCCCATTTGTTGATTGGGTTGTTTGTTCTCTTATTGTCTAATTTTTTGAGTTCTTTGTATACTCTGGATATTAGGGCTCTATCTGAAGTGTGAGGAGTAAAGATTTGTTCCCAGGATGTAGGCTCCCTATTTACCTCTCTTATTGTTTCTTTAGCTGAGAAAAAACTTTTTAGTTTGAGTAAGTCCCATTTGTTGATTCTAGTTATTAACTTTTGTGCTATGGGTGTCCTATTGAGGAATTTGGAGCCCGATCCCACAGTCTGTAGATCGTAGCCAACTTTTTCTTCTATCAGACGGTGTGTCTCTGATTTGATATCAAGCTCCTTGATCCATTTTGAATTAACTTTTGTGCGAATGATAATTTTTTAAATTTAATTTAATTTTTTATTGTAATTTGTTATATATGACAGCAGAATGCATTACAGTTCCTATTACATATATAGAGCACAATTTTTCATATCTCTGGTTGTATACAAAGTATATTCACACCATTTGTGTCTTCATACATGTACTTAGGGTAATGATGTCCATCTCATTTCACTATCTTTCCTACCCCCATGTCCCCTCCCTTCCCCTCCCACCCCTTTGCCCTATCTAGAGTTCGTCTAATCCTCCCTTTCTCCCCCTCCCAACCCCACTATGAATCAGCCTCCTTATATCAGAGAAAATATTCGACATTTGGCTTTTGGGATTGGCTAACTTCACTTAGCATTATATTCTTCAACTCCATCCATTTACCTGCAAATGTCATGATTTTATTCTCTTTTATTGCTGAATAATATTCCATTGTGTATATATACTACAATTTCTTTACCCATTCATCTACTGATGGGCATCTAGGTTGGTTCCACAGTTTAGCTATTATGAATTGTGCTGTAATAAACACTGACGTGGCTGTGTCCCTTTAGTATGCTGTTTTTAAATCCTTTGAGTGTACATTGAGGAGTGGGACAGCTGGGTCAAAAGGTGGTTTCATTCCAAGTTTTCCAAGGAATCTCCATACTGCTTTCCATATTAGCTGCACCAATTTGCAGTCCCACCAGCAATGTATGAGTGTGCCTTTTTCCCCACATCCTCGCCAACACTTATTGTTGTTTGTATTCTTAATAGCTGCCATTCTGGTTGGAGTGAGATGAAATCTTAGAGAGTAGCTTTGATTTGCATTTCTCTAATAGCTAGAGATGTTGAACATTTTTTCATATATTTGTTGATTGATTTTATATCACCTTCTGAGAAGTGTATGTTCACTTCCTTGGCCTATTTATTGATTGGGTTATTTGTTTTTTTGGTATTAAATTTTTTGTGTTCTCTATAATATCCCAGAGATTAGTGCTGTATCTGTTATGCATACGGTAAAAATTTGCTCCCAAGCTGTAGGCTCTCTCTTCACCTCCCTGATTGTTTCTTTTGCTGAGAAGAAGCTTTTCAGTTTGAATCCATCCCACTTGTTGATTCTTGATTTTTATTTCTGATGCTATAGGAGTCTTGTTAAGGAAGTCAGGGCCTAATCTGACATGATAAAGATTTGGGCCTCCTTTGTCTTCTATTAGGCTCAGGGTCTCCAGTCTAATTTCTAGGTCCTTGATCCACTTTGAGTTGAGTTTTGTGCATGGTGAGAGATAGAGGTTTAATTTCATTTGCATATGTATTTCTAGTTTTCCCAGCACCATTTATTGAAGAGGCTATCTTTTCTCCAATTATGTTTTTGGTGCCTTTGTCTAATATAAGATAATTATAATTTTGTGGGTTAGTCTCAGTGTCCTCAATTCTGTGCCTTTGGTCTACCAGTCTCGTTTGGTGCCAAAACCATGCTGTTTTTGTTACTGTTGCTCTGTAGTACAGTTTAAGGTCTGGTATAATGATGCCACCTGCTTCACTGTTCTTGCTAAGGATTGCTTTAGTTATTCTGGGTCTTTTATTTTTCCAGATGAATTTCGTGACTGCTTTTCTATTTCTATGAGGAGTGTCATTGGGATTTTGATTGGAATTGCATTAAATCTGTATAGTGCTTTTGGCTGTGTGGTCATTTTGACAATATTAATTCTGCATATCCAGGAACTCAAGAAAGATCTTTCCATCTTCTGAGGTTTTCTTCAGTTTTTTTTCTTTAGCATTTGGTAGTTTTCATTGTAGAGGTCTTTCACCTCTTTTGTTATGTTGATTCCCAAGTATTTTATTTTATTGAGTCTATTGTAAATGGGGTAGTTTTCCTAGTTTCTCTTTCAGAGGATTTGTCACTGATATACAGAAATGCCTTTGATTTATGCGTATTGATTTTGTATCCTGCTACTTCCCTGAATTCATTTACTAGTTATAGAACTTTTCTGGTGGAATTTTTTAGGTCTTCTAGGTATAGAATCATATTGTCAGCAAATAGTGCTAATTTGAGTTCTTCTTTTTCCTATGTGTATCCCTTTAATTTCTTTCATCTGTCTAATTGCTCTGGCCAGTGTTTCAAGAACTATGTTAAATAGAAGTTGTAAAAGAGGAGCTGGGGTTGTGGCTCAGAGGTAGAGAGCTCACCTACCATGTGTGAGACTCTGGATTCAATCCTTAGCACCACATAAAAAACAAAAATAAAGACATTTTGTCCACATATAATTAAAAAATAAATATTAAAAAAAAGAAGTGGTGAAAGAGGGCATCCCTGTCTTGTTTCAGTGTTCAGAGGGAATGCTTTCAATTTTTCTCCATTTAGAATGATGTTGGCCTGGGGCTTAGCATAGATAGCTTTTATAATGTTGAATATGTTCCAGTTATCCCTAGTTTTTCTAGTGTTTTGAACATGAAGGGGAGCTGTATTTTGTTGAATGTTTTTTCTGCATCTATTGAGATGATCATATGGTTCTTATCTTTAAGTCTATTGATGTGATGAATTACATTGATTGATTTCCATATGTTGAACCAACCTTGCATCCCTGGGATGAACCCCCCTTGATTTTGGTGCACTATGTTTTTGTATTTGATTTGCCAAAATTTCATTGAGAATTTTTGCATCTATGTTCTTTAGAGATATTGGTTTGAAGTTTTTTTTTTTTTTTCTTTAATGTGTCTTTGCCTGGTTTTGGAATCAGCATGACATTGGCCTCATAAAATGAGTTTGGAAGTGCTCCTTCCTGAAATAAATTGAAGAGTGTTGGTATTCTTCTTTAAAGGTGTTGTAGAACTTGGCTGTGTATCCATCTGGTCCTGGGATTTTCTTGGTTAGTAGGATTCTGATGGTGTCTTTTATTTCATCACTGTTTAAATT